ACAAGAAGGGAAGCCCCAAAGGGTCGTAGGCTCGCTCAACAGTGGCGACACCCAACGCATAACATTAAAAGTATTGTTTGTTTAACCTTGTCCTTCGTCAACAGGGGGCATAAGTGCAACTTCACGGCTTATCTGATATTTGATTAGTCGGAACGGAGAGTTGATTGTCTATGACTTGGCTCATCATTTTGATGCCTGTCCCATAAAATACCATAAAAACTGAGTTAGCATTATACAAAAGTGATAAACTTTACGAATTATAGGTAGTTTTGCCCCCTTAACCATCAAATGCTTACTACTCAAAGAAAGAAAAATTAGTTATTTATCACGCATTTTATCAAATGAAAGCTCATTAAAGTAGTTAAATAAACCAACTGAAGGGCATTGACTGTATTGACTGCATTTTCGATGGTGTTTACGGGGCGAAGTCTCACTTTTGCAATGATATGCCTTGCCATCTCGACCCCTCCAGTCGCCTTGCTTGGTAAAGGACTTTTTAAACTAGAGGCGACAACTCCAAATGTGGAGGTGAGTAAATGGCAGGTGGATGGGAGTTCCTCATCAATGATATCGTCCACCAGAGTTTTAAGTTTCAGCACAAGGCACAGTGAAAGCAATAGAAGTTAACTAACTAATTGCACTTCCCCTTGTCGTCCAAAGAATCTACTAAAAGGAGCAGTACACTATTAGTTGAGGAGAAAACATAGTTGAGGCCAATGAATTGTGCTACCAATGTTGCAATGATTGCAAACGAAGCCGAAATTGAAGAGCAATAGCGTCTAGTCACGTCAATTCGGAGTCTTTGCAGTATTTTGAGCAAACGTCATGCAAACGGAAAAATGTCACAAACATTCCTCTGATGAGGCCAAAGAAGTGACCTCTGACTGTGGGGTTGCAGCAGACAGACCATGGATTAATTACAACCGCTAATCAGAAACATTCGGTGCCGATCAAAGCAGCTCACGCAAGCCACAAAATCAATTGTAAGAAATGATGACCTTTTGTTTACCTCAATCGGTGCATTGGCAACCAAACCGAGGTCGTGGATAACAGCATGCATTTTACGACAAATGGAGCAAGGCCGAACCCCGTGGCATAACCCACCATCTGCTTAATGGCATATGGTTTTGGAAGGACATCTGCCCCAAGTCTGTTATTTCCAACCAACTAGCTGTCATATTGGTAGGTGGGGCTTCGAAGGATGTTTCCGTGTGTGATGTGCTTCCATTTGAAATTAGAGTTTGCATTATTGTGCAGTCTAAGTTTGAGAATAAATGGATGGTGACCAGGTAGGTAGTTGACACTTTTCAAACGTTTTCGTGGCAAAAGGCAGAATAAGTCATAAAGCATCGTCAACTGGCGCGAAGCAGAGAAAAGCCGAAGTCGCAAAGAAATAAGGAAGGTGAACATACTTATGCTAATATAAATGAAAGTGGAATTCATTGGTGAGACTCCGAAAGTAAAGAGTGTATGTACTTTCTACCAAATTTAGACACTCGAAGACATTCAAAATTAACAAATTTGACAAAAATACAACTTGGGTTCCACTCCGTTCAAATAATTTTGCCTGCTTATTGTGTGGCAGTCCTAGTCGTGAAGTAAGTACAAGTGGTGTTGAAGAGAGGAAAAAATCATCAACAAATTTAAGGAGTCACGAGAACCCTATCACAAAATCATTCGGAAACTTCTGCCTCCAGGTCATTTGTAGTGTAGTGTAAGACATAAACCATCAAGATATTCCGATGAAGTTAAAAAATGGAAAAACAGACGCCTCAAGTACTTTTAGTTTTAAATCTCAGCTGAAGTAAAGTGAACGGGTATAGGAGAGGTTGGGCGCGATGGGTTCAGTGGAAAGCCTTATGAGGGGAATTTTAATCTGCCCGAAATCATTTTATGGCGAATTGAAGTGCATCGCGCCTTGTAACTTCTTGAAGAGTAGCTGAGCATTGGCATGCTTCTGACCAAAGACAAATATTTCAGTACATTAATCCCCAAAAGCATTAGCGTAGTGTCGAATTTTTCCATTAGCATGCCCACAGTCCTCCCCATTAAGAACAAACAAAGAGGCTTAGGATTTAAAAGCGGCGTGTTGCTGGCGAAATTGAAGCAATAAAATGCGACTAAATGTAGTTTGTGGATAGAAAAGTGTGATGCGGTCCGTTTCTTTCCGTTGTTTGCCGCTGCTTGAGCCACACGAACAGCTCCTTTGACCAGCTGTCGCTCCTACTTTCACGCAACTTTACTTCGTGGTGCAATAAATCGATAAAATTGGCAGAATCGTTAATGAATTTCACGAAGTACGTGCAGCGTTCAAGCAAATGAAGGAGTCGCACCAAAGTGAAGCCACATAAAAAATGAAACCCACTAATTCCGTTGCACATTTTCCAAGCATCCATAAGAGAGCAAACTATCAGTGGTATGGAGAGAAACTGGACTCGAAAACGTGTCAACCTTAGGCACTTCCAACAGTTCACTCCTCATAGCCAAACATAAATGCCTTCATACTTTATTACCGAACACTGAATTGAAGCGAAAAAAGTGTTCTCACGGAACAATGCAAGAATGCGCTCGTCCTCAAGATTTAGCAAACCAATTAGGACGACATTTATTTTGCCAAGAAACTGCAATGTTTAAACAAAAAGTCAATGAACATAAAAAGGAAAGTTAGTAATTTGAATTTTTTGGGTTGCAAACTGTTACTGCAGCAAGGTGGAAGGGTTGTGTTGCCCCATTTTATACCCCACGATCAGAGGCGAATTCTACCAAAATAGCTGGAAACAAACAATTTAGGGTACTATGGTAGATCCTTGTTAAAAGCGAAATATTAGCAATATGAATGTAGTAACTGCCTGTCTACCCTCTGGTCCCTGGTTCTCAGACTTTAAGGGGAAGTTGGTTGTAGACGATTTATTAGGCATCTCTATAAGAAGGATAGGGGAATAAGATACAGATGTGACGAACAGGAGGTGTCGACCTCGTCGACCTCGCGCACGTGATCCACGCTTCCAATTGGTTTCCGCCTCTCACCTATAAAGGTCCACTTAAACAACTAGAATATATTACAATGAACACCGAATTTCGCAACTCGCATTATAAGAACAATTTCCTGTGCCATTTTGGATGGTTGCAAGCAAGTTGACCCACATTAACGGAGAACACAAACGCAAATGATTCCTTAATGGTCTCCACATAGGTGAACATTTTTTGTTGAGTTAATAAAGCCCTTTCTCAGGAATTTGATTAGGGCCCAGCAAATTCGACCAAAGATCCATGGTAGATCCATGGTAAACAAAGAGCATCTTTGAAGTGATGATTCACTACATAGGTGTGGTGGTCATGACAGAAGCAGGCCTTTGTTTCAGCTATTTCACAGGGAATATTGAAACTCCCAGAACGACGCATTCCTATGAGAAAAATTGACCTTCAAAGGTGATAGGTGGTAGATTTGTTGTAGGATAGCACAAAGGCGACAAATTGCAGTCTGTGTATATCCTCACTATAAAATCCGTTCCCAAATGGAACAAAATGACAAGTGAGGATATGCGTCGCTTTTTGAATTGCTGCAGGCAGAGCTAGTAAATTGGTGTGGGTCTGACAAACACGGATTTGAGAAATCATAAGAGGTATTTCACTCAGCAACATTTTCCATGTCGCCACAAGCAATTACCGCCAAAGTTCACTTACTCGAAAACGCGCAGTACATCCAACAAGGAGAAGAATCGTCCCCCCGGGCTAATGATATTTGATATCCGCACCTTTTGGAGGCCGTGGTTCTAATACATCAATTTTCCCTCCTTACATCAGTTGTTCCGTTCAAATTAAATAACGACTAAGTGGAAGAAAACTTATTAAAAGATTTTGAGAAAAGTTTATTTAAAATGATATGAATTGGCGCATCTCAGTTAAATGTCAGCACCTTTAATCCTTGCATACGAAGAGCCTATTATGTGGACTACCAAATTTAGGTGCGATGCATAAAAGGCTCCAAAAGAAAACGTAGTGGACCCGATCGTGAAAGCCAAGTAAGAGAAGGCTGCATTACATTCTTGCAACAATTTAAACGCAAAAGTCCCAGTAGAAGAGAATTCTTTTAAGAGACCAGTTGAGTACGCAATTCAGTAGGGGACTCCTTCTGGTCTTCTTCATTTTACCTTGGTCAAGTGACTGAACTACGCACCATACGACAGACCTAGATTTTCTTTTATCAGAATCCTTCACTTCCGTATGTGTCAGACCAACTTTATGTCATTTAGAAGGCAGCAACAACACCTTTTTAGGTTTTTATTAAAACGTTCATGATTTCTGACGCAACAAAGAAAACACATTCGACAGTCGAGTATTTCCAGCAGTGTCACAGGCAGCAATGTTCTGATTTTGTTGCTTGCGTAACAGCAGACTTAATAAAAGTGACCGAAAATACGTTTACGCACACCAACACCGCGGTCTTAAACGGGCAGCTCATCACAGGGTACTTTCGGACTGAAGCCTGAATTGGTACTGACGTCGTAAACATGGGTTATTCTAACAAGAAGGAGGTTACTTGCGTAAAATTAAAACCACACAATTAAACTAAAGATTTTGATATAGGAAAAGGGGAGTTTACAAGTACGACACTAAGTTTTGTGGCAGATTGCTTCAAGTCTTTTCTAGAGTGCAAGAAGTTATATTGTTTTGAAAGTGAGTGAATTTTCGACATTAACTTCCTGGGCCGAAGCAATTTTGAAGAAGTGGAACACTGCGTAGAGCAATAAATGAGCATCCTTCAGTGAAAAGATCAGATTACTCGTCAATGTCGACAGGATATCCAGTCGCTTGCTTTGTGTAGAAGCTACCAATCGTCAACTGCTCGATAGTTCACCAATAAGAGGTCTGCTCAAGAGCCAATTAAAATTTAATTTTCTAGTCCAAGAGTTTGCTTTGAAAAAGTGGACATTTGGAATAAGAGGACAATAGGTGCACCCTAACCATCTCACATTGTTTCATTGTCCTCCAAAGTATCAATGACACAGGAAATGCCAAAAGAAGCCCTCGTGAAAACACTGCAAAAACTACTTGAACCTGTGAGTGGGAAGCCGGTCTACCTTACGGCCAACGATCTTCTCGCAGTCTGGGACTTCTTTGACATCGACCGTATGTCAATGAGAGCATGCTTTAAAGTGCCATTTTTCTGTCCAAAAGTCGTTTTGTGCACACTCTAATCGCACGCAACAAATTCCTGACTAGCCATTTGCTAAGCCGTTTTGGGGAATTTAGAATTTTTAAGTCTCTTTTATAAATTGATTGAATAGGAAAGCTGTTGCTAAAGTGAAGCGATCAAATTGAACGCTGTCCATTTAATTTACACATAAATAAATGCATGAACTGGTGGTGATTGTATAAGCTCTAGTATGCGCTTGTTCAACATGGAATTCACTAGTTATGAAGCAGTCAGATGTGCACATTAGATATTTTTTTCTGTTTATTCACAATCTTTTGTCTGATTAAAGATGATGGCACTCTCCTTGCGGAAGAATACGAACTATTCATCCGCATTCTTGGGGAAATTCTCAAAACCGTATTTCCAGTAAGCATTCCTTCTTCCTTGCCTTCGTTGGTGCTCACCGTTTGACAGCAGGAGTCCCCACCTAGAGAGGTGTTTTTGATAGACGACACACCAGTTGGAAAAAATGCTCCAAGGTGGTGAAAGTAGAGGCGGAGTAGTGCAGACTAGCAGACCTTTAGTTACCCACAATGTAGCAGGCTCCTGTACCCCTAAATATGAGCATTTTGACTTCCAGCTCTTGCTTAATAGTGTGAGGCCTTTGCCTATTGAAATGGCGGCTTGTCCTTCACTGAGTCCGTTTATCTGTTGCTGCTAGCATTATCGGGAGCAACGAAGCACACCTCCTTTCTTCTTAAAAAAACTTTTGAAGAACGAGAAGAAAATCAGAAATACATAAATGGTTAACGGTTTGCTGAAATGAATGCACTTTACGGCTAAATAAGTCCATTTCCTTTATAGAAATTTCGTTTTTTTATTTTACAGTCAGTAAACCTGCAAGATTATTCGATTAAGTCTTTCTCCGTTCATGATCCTTATTTTAATGACATTTATGAAAAATGCCATTTTTCTGCTTAAGAACTATGGCAGAACTTCGCTTCCTGATCTAATTACGGCGGCAATAAACCCGGGTTTGCCCTATCAAATAGGGATTGACGAGGTACGTTCGACTACATGCAAACTCCATTTGAGGTGTGTGGTCGTGCGCAGGCCGATGTCCATTTGTAGCACTCCTGTGATGGGACTACCAAAAGGGCATGAAACTCTTCACTTTTAAGGGAACGTTGATGTATTAACTTTCTTAAAACAATCATCATGTGTTAGTAATTGAGGCTGAATCTCTGCCACACTCTTATGAATCGCAGGCAATAGATGGTCCGCGAAGTAAAGCGAAAGGACGGTTGTGGATTAATTTGGAATAGGCAGTACGATCACAAAAGGCAGTATGATTCTGGAGGGTAGGGGGGAGAGAAGGGGAGTGGAAGACCTCTAAGTAACGAGCACAATCACATTACTGACGCATAAGGCTCTCCGAGAAATTGAAGCAATGGGGAGATGGTCCTTGGCGTTGAGATTAAAGCTGCCGAATCTCTTGAGAACAAGTTATGAGGTCATCATTAAAAACCCCTGCTGTCAGTCCTTTCACATTTTGTATTTTTATTGTGTTATGCGTAGTTTTAGAAAGTCTACCTTTGCTCTTCTTCCACTTCAATGCCTGAATTTTATTCCATGCAAATGAAGTGCACTACCTCGAACGTATTTACTGCTTAAAAATTTTATGCTAACGTGGGAAGGAGAAGCCAACCAACCTAATTACTTGCAGCTGCAAGGTGCATTCAAAACACCTCCCATAATGGTTCAGATTGTTTTCGTGCGTAGGAAAATTAGAACCTCCACTTTCTTCTACATCTCATTAGAGATGCACATTGTAATAATAAAGTGGTCAACCGTCCCCACTTCACTCTATAATTTGGCTGGCGTTTGACGCCCTCATGTGGAACTAACGCGTGGCGTGGGTCTAAATGGAAGTCAAAAATAACGCAATAATGAGGAAATTACTTGGAATCCTATTGCAACCAGATGGTAAAGCAAGATCGTACCTTATTTTTTGAAAATTACTATTAAAATATTTTGTTGATGATGAATTATAGACTGATAGAAAACGATGAATCGAGTCGCAGATGCGCAGTTCGGCATGTCGCCAGTTGAGGCGTATGTTAAAGTTGCTGTGCCGATTGTTTTGGCCTAGAGATGAAAGATTCTTCAAAGCCAAACTATAAATTAGGAAAGGGGCCGAAAGGAGGGAGCGAGAGATACGAAATTAGAACAGAAATCAGTTTCACATTTGAGCAGCAATGTTAGTGGTGATGGAGTATTTGGATTGCGGACGTGTTTTTTGCTGAAATGAAGTTAGCTTAGGTTTGCAAGAACCGGAATGTGCCGGCTCGTGTTTCGAAAGAGAACTGCAGTCAACTTTCCAACATTCTGTAGCGTCGAACACTCAGAAGTGTTTGCGAGATTGCAAGTGCGATTTCACTTTTGAATTTTATTTAAAAAGCATAAGGTTTTGAGTCTCAGTGCGAAATGAGGAATGATCCGAGTACTTCGGAGCTATGAAAAAGAGTTGATTTAAAATTATTCTTTAAATGGCTACTGGGTGGGAGCAAACCATTCACACCTTGAGACGAATTGCGTTCCATCACTTCATTTCCTCCCTTCGTACCCATTCACAGACGTGTTTGCTTGAATTTGGGGCTTTTCTACGTTTTACGAATTTTGACGTCTCTGGCGCAAACGCAAACTGTCACAGAGTGTACAATGATTTTGCACGGAGTTGTTGTGTTGTAGTTTACAAATGCATGCAAAAGAAGTAGGCGTTCAAACGTATACAAAATTAAATTATAAGAAATGCTGCTGTTGCGGTTAGGATTTTGTTGACTTTAGATTTCACATTTACTCAATGAAGAAGAGCGCTTTCTGCTAGTTTTTCGCAAGCTCTCCAACATTCAGTCAAGTTTTGACTTCATGAAGGTAAGAGAATAACCGGGAAAAGAGTTTTAGGTATGGAGAGAATTCGATACGGATGGCAATGGAATTCTGGACAGCAAAGAATTAAAGGTAAAAGAAGCTTAACTTCAAGGTGAGTGTCTATTGTAGACATTTCTGGAGAAACTTCTCTCCAAGTCGACTGTACCTGTCACTCACGAAAAAGTCGAGGAGTTTGCCTCTCTCATTGTAAGTGTAATGTGTTCTTCTGCATCTCTTCTTGCTCCACCACCGAAGAGCAAAAAAAAATTTGTAGATTTTCACACTTGTTTGGCTTAATAAGCGTTGTTGCACAGTGGTTTTGAGGGCGAAACACTGATTTCTGCACTGATAGCGTGGGTACAGACGTGGGAGTTGAGTGCGCTCCGCACCGGTGTTTACTGATAAGGGAAAGGAAAGCAGAGGACAGTAAAGCTGCACAGAGAATACTGCGCTAAGGTTATTTCATTTCCTGTTAATCTTTACAAGACTGATGACGATAAATTTCCTAAAAAGCCCGTGTCTGTAATTGTTGAGGTGTTTAGTTGGTATTCAAAAGTTGCCTTTCATCTTAGCAGTTTTTTGGGAATGACAAGTGAAAATCCATGAATGCCAAGCTCAGAGCAGATGTCTTTCTTTTTAAATTAATAAACAATCTCAACTACTGCCACATCCATTGTGTTGTGTTTATTAAGCTGAAATTCTTCGATTTGAATTCCGATGGAAAGCTGCAAATTTGCGAAATGTCAAAGTAAGTAGAGAAGCGAGTACATTTAACGCGATGAGATCTTCAGGTTGCTTCCAACGAAGAACAACATTTTGGCTAACACTACATTGAAGGTAGGCGATCAAGTTTAAATAAAGCGCAAATACAGGACATTTCCGAAGCTGAACTTGACCGGATATTTGACTTTTATGATCAGGTGAGTGACTTAGTTTGCCATAAATTCCTTGAAATAAACTCATATGAACGTAAAATAGTCGACTAAAAAGAGAAGTCTCGGAGCATTGCTTCTGCTTAAATGCCAAAAATATAATAGTATCATCAAAGATTTGCCAGAGACCAAGTGTTCCCCAGATTCCTGCTCAAACCAGAACGGCATCCCACATGGAAAGGCTTACGAGGTCCCGATTTTTGGCGCAGGACATCGCAAACCAGCAGTCATATTCGCCTTCACCAGCAATTGGTAGGAAAATGGGCTAAGTTTTGAGCACAAATCATGTACCAGTTGACTACATTCTGTGACAAAATTAATTCCACTTTTATGACAAAAATGCGTGACTGCAATTCCTACTAAGTGAAGGTAAGTGTGCATATGCCTTTTTGGAGGACAAGCAGTGCAGGATAAAATTTACTGAACAAGTTGCTTGTGTTTAACCACATATCTGAGAGCGGGAGACTTGTCTAGCCTACAGTGACAGTAAACAAGGTGTTTCCTTTTTCAGGATCATAGTGGAGTGATTGAAAATGAAGAATTTGAAGGGCTTGTGAAGGATCTTTTGGATATCGCCAAAAAGGTGGGCGCTATGCTTTCCTATCAGTCTGAATAAGCCTCTTAACACAATACACTTGGATTTCTATCAAAATATCACTTCAATTTTAACAGAGTTACGACACTAAAGACCTCGATGAGTTTAAGACTAACCTGCTAAGGCAATGGGATGAAAATTCGGATGGCAAAATTAGTAAAAGCGAACTCAAACTTCTGCTTCTTCACTCCCGGTCGATTTGAGCCCGACGATCTGGCGAGGGCGATGTGTTGCGACCACCTTCACTCGTCTGCACGCAGACTTACTTGACTGTTGCAATCCTTCGTTACAAACTATGTTATCACAAGCTTTAATTTGCGTTTACCTCATCAGTTCTTGATTGTGTCTAATTTGTCAACACATATCACTTTGAGATGTCATTTTTGCCATTCCACATGCCTTGCAATGCCACTCTATCGCCGAGACGTTGAACTTCTCTAAATAGCCACTCGTCATTTTGACAACAAGTTTATCTCTCTAATTAAGTTATTGAGCAACAACTAAGTAAAGTTTTCGTAGTTAATCTAAGTTGCTTTTCTCACTAAGATGCACCGGACATGTTGGGATGAGCTTAACCGGTAAGCGACACGTAGCTGACCAGTTGGGCGAAGAGGCGCATGTGACCCAGCGTAGCCTCTCCCCCTATTGCTTAATTCAGTGTAAAACTTTAGATCGCGGCAATAGAATACCTTAATCCCTAGTGAAGTGTCTGACTTTCAGAGGAGGATGCAGGAAGATTATAGAAAAGCCTTAAGGATAATTGACATGATTGAAAAATACCCTTGTTTTGTGTCAAGGTGGTAAATACTGGCTGCAAACTCAGTCATGGTCAAGAAACTGCGTTACTGACGCTTAAGTCAACTAGAGCCCTTAATACTTCTAAGTCGCTTCCATGTTTAATGCGCCATTTTCATAGAGCATCGCAGAATGGAGGATTGACTCGCCACTATTAGGATTTTTGCTCCGTTGTAAAGTGGAAAAAGAAGATTGCTAAACTGGGTTTGACTTGTAACGGTAGTTGTAAGCGTTTTGGGCTCAAATTTGGTAATCTCATTAAATTTTCAGTTATGACTAGCATGTCCGCCTAGCAGAGAGTGGTGAACTAAAGAGGGCAGAGTGGAGAAGTGAAGTAGTGAAGTTCTGCTATCCTTAGATACCAATAGTAAGCAATGAGAACATTACAAAGTGAACATGGTAGTACTGATTAAAAAACATGCCACTTAAAAGGAGGCATTCAAATGGTTAAGTAAGACGAAGTTGAATTTCGAAAAGTGTGCCCGTCTCTACGAAATCCTATTTGATAATTGATAAGCAAAACTGCAAACAATCCAATTGAAGGATTGCGCAAAGTTAATGCCAACACAAATACAAATAGCGGTTTTTTGGTAAATTACTTTGATACTAAGAGTCATCAGTGATAAAAATAAAAACAAGTGGTGAGAAATCATTACGACTTGTCTTTAGATGGCTCCTGACAAACGTAAATGCGATCCATATAACCACCTTTAATAGACGAAGGTTAGCTGTCGGTAGGTCCAACTACAGTTTTAATAAACCACGCTTTACTCTAAAGCCTTAGCGAAACGCCATGTGTGAGGGCGATGAGTGGACATGCGAAGTTTTGCAAACCGCTCTCAATTGTTCAGACAGTGGTTTGTGGACCCGCTCTTGGGCGATAGATTGAAGCGATTACCAAAGGTGAGGGCTTGTCTCTAAACAACAAACGTGAATGCTTTTCGTTGGTTTTTGTTCTATCTCTGGCGTATTTTAGGAACATAACTTGCAAACTTGACTAACCATTATGTTTTGCTATCTGCTTATCGTCGAATCTGTAGCAGGTAAAAGCGTACTGAGCGACTGATTATCACTTCGCATACAGTAAAATTAAAACAAACCCTCTTATTAAAATTAAATGAAACTTGGTTATTTATTAAAAGTTCAGATTACTTATGCTATTAAATTGCAAATGGCGATCTGCAAAGACTCCGACTAAAATTCCGAGTCGGAGCGAAGGTGGCATGAACAAAATGTACGTCTACTTCTTCTGTCCTCTCCAGCAGCCTCAGTTTGAATTTACTCACAATCTGAACTGTATAGAGGGTGAGGTTGAAGATGGCAACGTAAAGATCAGTCGTGGCCTTCACAGCACCAATGTTATGGTGGCATCTTCACTGAACTGTCCATTACAGCTAAATATGTTCCAAAGAGCACCAGATTCCGCTCCACATTAGGACATCGGGAAACATGCAAATGGCTTTCACAGATTTCCTAAATATACTGATGTCACAGACTCTCTGGGTAAATAGGCATTTAAAATCGTCATCATATACTTCAAAAAAAATTGTAAATGCCCTCCAAACCACTTAAACTTAAGATTTCTTCAGATGGAAGGTATTCATCTTAGATGAGGTTGGGGAGGGAGCGGGAAGGGGTGAAATCCGAACCCATGGCTAAAATACCACCAATGGGTCTCTCTCTTTCCGGCACCCAGCTACAAAATACTTTCGTAGTCACACACAAGGCGCGATAAAATTTCGCGCCTTCGAAGGCAATCAGAGTATTCGAATTGTCTATTTTAAGAAACAGCAACCGCACTCCAATTTCCGATGGACGGCCTTGTTCTTGAGATGTTGACCATTCATAAATGATGAGCACAAAACCGCAGAAACTGAACTCGATAATACATTTCAGCAACCAAAAATGGTAGTGCAATGTCAATACTTTTTCAGGATGGTCGAAATTGGGCGCATGTGTATAATAACGAATGGTAAATGTACCCTCAAAAGAAGGAAATGGAAATGCTGAAGTGTTTCCTATTCTCGCAGTCCCATTAGCCCCAAGTTCGAAGGTCGTGCTAAATAGCGTGAAACAGCGTCTACATAGTAATATGATCTTTTCATTTCATTTGAAGCAGGTAATTTGAACGAAAGCACCATATTAGTTGACGCAGTAATTCTATCATCAAAATCGCGGAAGTCGGCATAGCGTCCTTAAAATTTTAGTTTGATTGTCGAAGTGTAGCGGCGCCCGACTTACCATTTAATGGAAGGGGGCATTCGGCATAACTGGGTGCTTGCATTCAGAGGGAAGAGGAAGACGTGGAAATTTTGCCTGGCCCGCATTACAGCCTTTGCAGCCAAGAGCAAGATGAGCACCGAAGTAACCATCATTCATACAGGTGGTCAAATAAGCAAAGCATTGCAGAAGGCACTAGACTTGGCTAAATATCTGTATTCTGACATAAAGGACAGAGACGGAGCTTTGATAGAAGCCTAAGGGCAATCACAGTAGCCGCCAATCATACAGGCAGTGGATCAAACAAGTATTCCATAGGTTTCGTTTGCAGTCCACTTGACAACTCTGTCGATCTCCAACGATGACAGTAGGTCGAACCTTCGCTGAACGTTAGAAGCACACTCTTATTAGAAATTCACATCTATCAACTATAGTACCACTAGTTGAAACACTTTGTTTCTATGACCACCTGACGTCTGGCGGTTACTTTAAGATTCGTCTGGCCCATGTACGCGGGCAACGGCCCTCGGACCATGCTCGAGCTTGATCCCTTTCCTCTCTAGAATATACGCATTCAGCTCCACTTAATGTCGTCTTCCACTCAGTGGGAAGTCTCGTGAGGCTACACCAGTTTTAGATTTTAAGTGGAAATTATTAGATCCTAAACAGCGTTGCTCGCATGCTTGAGCAGATTTAATTTTATACACTCCTTATCTAATTGAACTGTTGTGCATAACATTTGAACGCACACAAACTAATAAGGTTAACTAGTCAGAAATGGGACAATTCTTTCACTTTTGGAAAGGGACATTTGGCGGGAGTAATAACGAAGGGACCTCATTGGACCTCAAAATAAGCGCAGCATCTTTGTCGTTCTCGTACTCATACAGTAGATTAATTCATAAATGGGTCCAAATTAGGCTTTGATCCGTCGTGTAAGTGATGCCTTTATAACCTAAAAAAGATTCGAACCTGCTAAAGCACATTTCCGCAACGATTTCTTATTAAACCATACACTTCAAAGTATTAGATCTCGGCTTGTCCTACTAAAGATGGGTGGTTCACGCCGCAGTATTAACTACACACCCACAAAACAACTTTGCAAAAAGGCAATAATGATTAAAGTGCAGATAATTTAAATTAATTATATTTATCTCAAGAGTGACGAAACTGACATCAATGAAACAATAACTTGTGAGTTTTCTGCCAAAGGGCAATGTAATGTCAGCACCCTCAAAATTAAAAAGGAGCACTTGAAATCGGGATCAGATGAGGAATTTCCTGTTCTCAGTAGTTTCAAGCCTCCTCAATAAAACAAAAGGACAGGAATAATAGCGGTGCAGAAGGTATGCACCATAGTGAAAACAAAAACCTCTGCCTTGAACTATTGAAAACTCACCAATTCACAAAACTTTCCTTAATTGCTAATCAATAAAAAAAGCATGACAACGCTTTAGATTTAAAAGTTTCAAGTGGTAGAAGTCATCTGCACCGAATGAAACGATCTCGCAACTTAAAAAGGCGAAATGCATCACCTTAGAATATTTGGTCTGCAACGGAATCAGAGCCAATAATGGATGCCAAATTTATTGTTGTCTAGTGTGCTAAGAGTGCTGGCTCCTAAGTAATTAAGCGTTGTTAGCAATAATCAGTCGATATAGGAGGCAACAAGCATGTCACAGGCCTTTCTGTGACGCGGCCAGTGTTCCACCTGGCACTGCCGACGGCAGTACCATTCGTGGCGACAGCGGGAGCAGCGCTTTGTGGCCACCTCTCCGCAGGTAACACAACGTGGGTTTCGAAGTAGGGGGTGCTCGAATGCCGCATTTTCGTGTTCATTATCACCGTTATTGACAGTAGGCCCGAAGAGCGCGTCCACTGCCTCCTCTGTAAAGGTTTCCGCCCACATCGAAGCCGCACGCTGAGCTGCTTCGACATGTTCTTTCAATTGAATGCGCACCAAAAATTCTTTAGCTTCTGCATCCCATTTACCTTTGTATCTGTAAAGTTCGTGTTATTTATAACATCCATTCTGCAACTTTCTATACCTCACTACCCAAAGTACTAAATGATACCTTAATACAATGGACATTTTGTATTTAAACTGCAACTCACTGCATTATACTTATTATTTTCCAGCATTTTATGCATTTCAGTCATGGTGATAGGGGGTCGAGTTTAATAAAACTGTGAAGTTAGTTATCTAACACTTTCACTTTCTTCAAATACAATATCTTACTAAGGAAGTAAAAATCAGCACCCCGGATTCTATCACCAACGATTCCTCCATGCATTCGCAATACATTTCTATCAAAATTCCTGTGCCTATGAAGAAGTTCAATTTCGCAATGGTAGAGCAAACTTATGTTTCTTTTGCCGACAAAATACTGAAAAATTCACAGTTTGCAAGGAATGATTAATTATTGACTGCGCTATACCAAATGTTTAGCTTGTTTAAAGTTGCCTAGGTCATGGCAAGGGTAACAGATCAACTGTCACCCTCGTAGCAATCCAATTTGAGCATTCTTTTTAGGCCATTATTGTGTGTCTTCAGACAGACTGTGTTAATATGCAAGAACAGATAATGGGCAAACTTACGCTACTTTTCGGCAGAATATATGAATAATTTTGCATTCTTGTGTCGGATTTAAGAGGATGTATAAGTGTTTCTGGGAGTATTAATTTATCACATTTATTTAGTGACCGGACAATTTGGGAGCCATTTTTGACTAGACATAATGAATGCTTTCTAGTGCCAAACGGACCTTCATCAGTTACAACTATCAAACCCAACAGGCAATGCTTTTAAAGCCGATTACGTGTGATGTTTCAATAATTGCTAGCACCATAAGTTGAACTTGAATGGTGATCCACTTTCAAATCAGAAGTTGAAGCTTAGGTAAGACATGTAGCATAAGGTGAAAAACCTCCGACCTCCGCAGAATGTCTTCGTATGCTTGAGGAACGTCTTCGATTTGACAAAGATGAGCGACAGCGGCAGCGGATGTGACACCGGAAGGAGACCGACTAATGGCTGCAACCTCAGAAATAGTGAACTCCTCGAGGAATCGACGCAGTTGCCCAAGCACCGGAATCACATCGATGCGTGATTCGGTGAGGTAAGGCCGTAGGCGCAGCAGTGCCTGGCGCTTTACGCTGCTCCCCACCAGCTCATAGCTCACCACGTTCATCACACCCGAAAAGACCAGCTGGTAGATTGACAGCCACACCTGCGCTCAAAATTATCTTGTTTAAGTAATTTTCGCCTTGTATGAACCATGTTACGAGATTACGCAACCAAATTAAAAATGTTTTACGGCATTGCAATAAAAATATGAGCATTCGACGTCAGGTCGAAACATTAATTCCATAATAGCCTTAATGCTTAGCACTGAAGAATCTTAATTTTCGAACATCTACTTAGCATAAAATGGCATAAAGGAATTAAGTTTTCTCCGTCATCTTGTTAAGTTCATGCCAAGCTCTTATTACCCTGCACTGTCCTTTCTATTCTTAGATGCCTGAACAGAGTGTATATACATGCAGCATTTTTCTCAGAGGCGTTCAATTTAAGTTGTGCATAATATTTTGACTTTTATTTAGCATTCGAAACCTTTCAACTTTATCGTAGGTAGTTGATAGATTTCCCAAGCTTGTTGGATCCCAATGATAACAGACCCGCAGGCATTAACTTTTAATCTCAAGAGTTCATCCAAAGGGAGAATAAAGTTGAAGGATCAACCTACCTGCCCCTCAGATTTGGTTACAGGAGTCCAATTCTTCTCATCTGTCTCAGAAATCCAGCAGCCCGACTCGTGCCATTGGTACTTGAGCGTTCGTATCGAAGTGGTATCTTCTTCGCAACACCACGGTGCGAGCTCGATGAGGTGACAGAGCAAACAAAGAAAGTCGTGCGTATGTAGTAGCCGCCGTGCGATGCTTAGAGGTGTCGTTGCAGATGATGCCACCGCGTTGGTACAAATGCTGCAACAGTGCTCGATCAAGTAACGTGATAATGAGATCGCTTTCATACCCACTTCATAAGTAAGAATATCCGTCTGTCTCTGCAACTCTGCAACTTCCTCTTCTGATGGCTTCGGCTATATTTTGGATAAGAGCAATTCATGACATAAGTACCACTGCACAATGCCAACAGTAGTAACGTCTTTATTTCCTTTTAGAAATGGATGTACTTCATGGTTTAGTTTATTAGTTTATTTTAGTTTAGTTTAGTTTATTATTGCATTTATAAGTATTAAAGCCAAAATTATTTACTATTAGGTTCGCAGAATCGACAAAAAATTTCCTTGAATGTCACAATGTGTTTGTGTTATTCATATTATCTTTTTAAAATTAAATTATCTAGCAATAATTTACTAAAAGATTAAAAATCAAGTAGGCGGTATTATCGCATTAAGAAAATACTCGTCACAGGTTTTGAAATTCTTGTACATAGCATGAGCTTAAGGAATTTATGAGATTTGCAATTCATTGCGATCGAAACTTTAACAATACACAGCATAACACTTATCTTGCACACAATGAACGTGTTTAGGGAAAATTTGGGCACTCAAAAATAATAGTGTTTCTTCAAAAACATCAGAAACATGGAATGCTTAACATTAGTATTACAGACAGCAATTGAAGTACAGGATGCAGCGGGTATCACTCTTGGCCTTGTCATGCCTTCAAAGAAGTTATTACTTACTTCATTTTTAAGAGTTCGGATGTTGGCCTTCTTTTCCTTGCTTGATACTGCGTTCACAAGACGGCACAATGCTCGGTAGCACCAGTCGCATAGATCCACGGCATCGTCATTCAGAGAATCCACCACATCAGCATGATAAGTTACGGTCTCCAAGAGGTTTATTAGAACGAGCTCGTGATGGAGTACGGCATACAAAGGAAATGTCGGCAGACTTTTAGGTAGGCATTTTAGGAGCCGCTTAAAAATTTTTTCAATCCACAACTCAGTCATGACTAAGTCGCGAATGAGGAATCCAACTTTCTGGTGTGAGATTATATACTCCTTGACAAATTCGTCTGAACCTGACCTGGCTGAAATAACAGCCTCCAGCGATAACAAAATACAAATTCGAATTTACCTGCATGTTAAGCCTTTCCAAATACGAATGTTGTTTGTACCAATGCTCCTTTCCATAGCAGTCGTAGTCAGTATCTGACAGAGATTCAATAAAAGCCTCTGCCTCAGCCGGGAAAATAATGTACTAAAATAACACACTCGGCACATTAGTTGCTATAATTGAAATTAAAATTGAAATGTGAACACTGTATACACACAATGTTTTACAGGCTCTTTCTACACGGCTAGCAGATAGATTCTGCCTCGAATTTTTTGCAAAAGTCACGATGATAAGTGGTTATACTAAGGAGAGGCAAAATTGTTCTAGTCCACTGATTCCAATGCCAAGGCTGATCTCGTTAAAGTACCTACTTGCAATTTATCAGCCATTCAGACAAATTGTAGTTGTGAAGGTTACTGCGCTATAACAACGTGAAATGCATTAGGCTACATAAACAAAATTTTGTTTTGTAATCTAATATTAAGTATGGCTCCATTCGGGATTTTGGTGCATTTCGAGATCAAGAGCGAAATGTACGTATGGCGCCTTGAGACTTTCCATCAGGTAGAAGAAGGCGTCACATTGGACAGAATACATTATTCGAAGAAGGGGTGGAGGGATGGAGTGTTGGCATGTTCTATATATTAACCATGCATACAACTATCAGACAAATAAAAATGAAACCACCAAATATCAGGTGGTCATTTAAACAAATGATTAAAACGTCTCGCTAGTGCATTCACTGGCAATGACAATTATTTTAATTCTTCCCATGGCCAGTTATTTCACCTGCTTTTCCGTATTGAGGTATTGTCTTAAGAAGTCACTAAAAACTAAAGCATTTGCACAGAACGAATATAGCTTTGCGAGAATCGGGTAACTGGTACGTCTCGAGACTTAAAATTTTATAAGGGAAGACATGAATTAGAGCTGATTGCAAGTATTTAGAAGGAAGGGGGAGAGGCAAGCCTACGCAAACTAGAGGGAAATAAGTACCAACGTGGTTGTCAGTCATATTTCAATGCTTTGTTTATGTGTGGATGTTACTTCGGTATTCGTCTTGCAAGTGTGCGTGATCTGCCCTTCGGCCGAAGTCAAGGCCAAATCTCTTAATCGCTTTTTAGAATGCGTATATTCAGTCCAACTCAACGCCTTCTTCCATCTAGTGGGGAGTCTCGGGACGTTGCCCATGTTTGTAATTAAATGAACATGTTATTGCAGTAGTATGATTTAAAAATGAAATTTTTGGACCTTGTAACGATTATAACTATCAGATTCTAAGAAATAAATATGAGGAGAACAATGCTCAATAAAGAGCGCCTGCGTATCTGTTATGTTAATAATTATCTATCTGCGCAGTTAGGCCACTGAGGCAGCTGCCAGGCATCTGCCAAGAAGATCTGCCTTTAGACTACTCTTAAGGCTCATATTCACAACGGTCTTATACCTTTATTACCAAGTAGGAAGCTTTAGAAAGATACATACATTTTGAAATTTTACTTTTCTACAACTAGATTAGTTAAATTATAATTTCATTTAATCTATCACACAGGCTCGCCACTATAACGTAAATAGCGATGAATATTTAATGAGGTTATCAAAACGCATTAGCATTGTTGATACAGTCCGGCTTTGTATGTGTTGTACTTTACCTTGCTCTAAACTGTGGGCTAGCTTTAGGCCAGTTCAAAACGTAAGCCCCCCACTTCTTATTGAGCAAACGCATTGGTTCCTGCTAATGCCTTCTGCCTAGCAAAATAACTCGAGAGGCCACAACTGATGCCAGTAGAATTTCAAGTAGCAAACATCTAGACCTGCAAGGCGTGTCTAATCCTAGAAAACCATCTAAACTGAACGCATCATTAACGATTTATGCTACTGATAAAAGTTCGTAACCGTAATGTTTTGTTTATGTGACCACATGACGTTCGGCGGTCACTAAGATTTGTCAGGTCCTCGTATGTGCGAACCGGCATTCGGGTCATGCTCAGGCCTAATCGATTCGTTCCCCTTGGAATACATTGTAATGCTCTGTCTATGTGACTACCTGACTTTTGGCAGTCACTTTAGGATTCGTCTGGTCCTTGTACACGTGGACTGGACTTCGGACCACGCCCAAGCTCATTCGCCTTGTTCTCTTCGGAATACATGTATCCAGCTTCACTTACTACCTTCTTCCACCCTATGGGAAATCTCGGGACGCTACACTAATGGTAACGGAATGCCAGTCGAGTATTTTTTAACCACCTCTCTCCCAGCACGTACCGTTCGTTGCATGCATCTGCGGTGTGCGGGAGGGCATTCACTTCGGTGGACGAGGAATCCTTGATTCACTCACAACGAAAGGATTTACACTGACATTTGCATTTGGCTTCAACTTATTCCCGTGTTCCACATACAAGCTATTAGCAACCTAAGCGGCATTGCCGTAAACCATCTGGAGGAGTTTCGTGTCGGAATTTCCCATAAACATCCGTGTTTAGGTGTTGGAAATGACACTACGGTTCTCCCTACACACGGGGCATTAGCTTGTCCCGTTTCTCTTGTAACAATTGATGGTCAATAGGTGTATGTGGCCCCGAATCAGACTGTCAGACTGAACGTAACTTAGATCCAGTTGAAGCTGCCAGAGAGATGAAGTACGGTTGCTCAGTCTCATGCTATCTGTCGACTGGTGCGGTTAGCTTGTAGTACTGGATGTGTCATGATGGCTGACACGAGAAGTGTACGAGAGTGAAGCACCGAGGACGTTGGTCAAAAAAAGAGAGGGGCAGCGTAATACTTTGCTTAATAGACCACATGAAGTTTGGAGGTCACTTGAGGATTTGTTTGGCCCTTGGGCTAAGTTCAGGCTCATTTGCTTTGGCCTCTTCGGAATACATGTAGTCAGCTCACTTACTGCCTTATTCTACCAAGTAGGAGGTCTCGGGACGCCATAGTAACCTTAAGAAAATTTTTATATATTCGAATATATGTATGATTTGCAATTGCCTTGGTGCACAACTTGCTCTATGATGGGTGGATTGCTCTTTGGATTAAACTAAAACTTGGCGTAATCGGGCCATCAGTATAGTAAGACCAATAATCTCGTGAAGAAATGACATTCTATTTGACCATAATAAGCTGAAGGAAAGTGTATAAAGGTAACGACTCTCAACTTAAAAACCTGACATACGATTTTTGCGTGTCCAAAAAAATACTTGTGCTATCATGATGAGGGAGATCGATTTCGGCATTTTTAAAAGTGCCTACATTGTTTTAGTGATTAGGTCATTGAGCTGAAATGTGATTGGACGTAGTTTTGTGGGAATTGCCCTTGATATATGTAAGTGGGTTTGTTGCCTCACTGTTGGGATGGATGCTATTACCCAAGCCAACACGGCTAAGATTGTTGCTTCTTTAAATGATGCACTTGTAGCAAATGATTACGGGCTCATTCAAAGAATCATTAACGACACTGCGACTTCGTCTTCTTGCGCACCTTGGGATTTGATGTCCTGGCTTTTGAGCAAAGTTGACGATTCAACAGTGGAGGATTCCATTGAATTGCAAAGTCTGCTTAGAACCAACATTTTTGAACTATCTCAGTCTCTAAGTACAAAGGAATTTTTGTTGCTTCTTCTTGGGGGAATAGAATCAAGCAGTTCTCTTCATATGCTAATATTTTCCATGCCTTTTCTGAAACATTGTGCGCTTTCGCTGGGACTTTCAGATTACTTGAACACGCATTCTATCTTTAAAACTATTCAAGTCAAGTTACATGCTTTCGTGTCGGAAATGAGTGGGCCATTTCGCTCCAAAACCTCGAACCTTCTTAGTGAGCTGATTCGCGAAATAAGCCATTTGTTTCATTGTGTTTTCTCAAAATGTGCCAATAAAAATGATGCCTTAATGTACTCAGAAGATGTACTTTATTATTTCTCGGAGATCCTATATTTCCTGCGCTTAAATGAAGATACAATACCTGTTTTTCAAAATTTTATCTCCGTTTTGCAAATAACCGGTCTGTCCCTGTACTCGTGTTGTTATGATTTTTTTCAGTTTTTGAATAATTGCTCAGATATCCTTGTAGCTTCCACGCGATTCACTGACCGTGAAGTAGCATTATTGCACACTCTGGGTTTGTGCTTGACATCTTTTTCTGTTCGTTCATTTTGGCCCACCGTTTTCACGAAGGCTTATGAATTCAAGTTATTTGTTTGCATTTCTGCAACATTTGTGCAGAAGATAGAAGATCTCATGGCGTCTGGCTCACCTTTATCGAAGGTGGATGTTAAACGACTTATTCGCACTCAAGAGCATCTTATTTGTTTGTCCTCAAAAATTCGTCGATGTCTTTCATCTGCTTGGTGGACCTCTTTTCCCATATCACTAATTAAGAATTTAGAGGCAATTTCAAAACATCCGATTACGTCCGTAAATTTACCCGTTGAGGTCAGTAATTGCGTACAGGGAATTGAGGCACTCTTGTCTTCTGCATCAATTACCGCATGTTGTGAATTATTCATTGGTATTATGGATCGATCACTCGAACCTTTCCATTGTGGACTGAGGGCGCACATGATCGTTCTATTTAAAAATTTCTTGCATGATGCGTTGTTAGCATTGCAGGATGGCCGCTGTAATGATCTGTTAATAGCTGAGGACTCAGTAGGCGAGTCTAGTGTCACATTACCATTTGACTTCGATTACCTTCGGGGCATGTGTGACCGAATATTCCAGTATCCATTGCACGATTGTGATGACTCTCTCTTCGATCAATTCAGTTGGCTGATGGCAGCATTAAACTTGGCAATCTACGTAAATATTCGTACAGGGTCGATTTCAGCTTCAAAATATGGAGTCGAAACTAAGAAAACCTTCCACATGGTTGCGCTCGCTTTCAATCGTCCTGACGCCAAAGGCAGGAGTACATTAAAGACTAGGTTCCTTGATCCCCTCTCTTCAGATATCGCATCTATTTCAAACAGGTACAAAATGGCAGAGCGGGAGTACAAAACGAATCCCAATCCCGAGACCATTGCTCCCAATGCACCAAGTCTTCAGGAGTGTCAACTTCGCTTACTCCAATTTCGTTTGCTAATGAACACTGTATCCCGCGTAGGAGAATTTCCTGTTGCTTAAACAAACGAGATTTGTCAATAAAATAACTTATTTTTACTAATACACTTTTCCAGCATTGATTCAGTTGTATTTTTACCTAGGCTTAGTTTTCTCTTTACAGAATCGTTGATGATCAGGTCAAGAGTGAGTCTTAAACAGTGAGTTAATGGTACTGCATTGGTTTGCTTCCCATGGAAGAATTTACGTTATTCTCATTTGTACTATCTACCTTTAGCTGCTTTTCTTGGTTTGGCACTCTAGCCATTTGTCGCTGCAGTTTTTTCACGGCTCCTCAAGTGGACCGCCTTACAAGTCGATGTTCTCATCTCATGTCTAAGACATCAAAAAGGTTACCCGTCCATAGATCAGGTGCGTCTATGCTCATGCATTACTTAGTAAGTTTGTTTCATTCTATTACCTGGAGCACCTGTGTTTAATTGAGTTGATTGGACTTCGTGGTGATTTTCTCAACTATCCCTACCAAAGTGGGTAAATCTGAGCTGAATGGGCTGGAAGATTAATTATATTCATTTCTAAATAGTTTTAAACAATTTATTCTTTTCTGCTTTTTATCATTCGTACGTTTAGCCGTATATTGTGTCTTAGTTACCACCAGCACCACAACAGACTCAATGGAAGGGGCTGGGTGCGCAATGGGAGTGACAGAAAGTGATTCCGACAGCAGGACCTTCTCGATGGACGTGAAAACAGGCTCTTTGGAGGAAATGTGCGAGCGTGCATTGGAGGTTGCGGTGACACATGTACCTACCCTCGGATGGTCGCGTGATTCTTTCGAGGTCGCCTGCATGGAACTGGATCTTCCCCCCGGCCTTCATTCCATTGCTATGCCCCGAGGCTCCATAGATCTCGTGCTACACTTCTACGAATCTCGCAACCACCGTCTTGCCGATGTACTCTCCAAATGGCGCAAAGAGGACGCCGTTGACGGCACGAAATACATTATTGGTAAACCTAATAGGTCCGTAAGTAGCACCCGCATTTCGGCTAGTATTACCTTTTCTCTCCTTTACGATTTACTGAAAACTCGGTTATTATCCAATGTTTACTGCTCCAGGTGCTGCACTATCCCAAACCTTTCATTTACTCAAATTGCACCTGCACAACCTAATCACTCTTGAGACAGTCTGTATGTAGCACTTGTCCCATTTTAGGTAGCCATTCTGGCACCTTAAGCTGTATTTGGGGGTAGTTTGTTGAATTAAGATTAATGTACTATTTTTAACTTATTCGTTATCATTAGATGGGGTTGCCTTATTACGGATGAAATTGGTGTTTTGAGGAGAGTGTGGGGTTAACTTTTCCTATTTTCAATTATTTGCTTCTACTGCAACTTATTGTCTTTATCTACTGATGAGATTTCGTCTTTTGTCATTCCTAGCATGTGTTTACTTTATGGTTCTTGAAACTGGTCGCCTTATTTTAGAAACCAAACCTGTTGCTTTCCCAATTCCTTTTGTTTAATGAATGAATGTACAAGCTTTAATTTCAGTTACAAGAAAATTAAGCCTGGGGGAATTTATTCTTGTATTTGATTCGTCTCGTGTGAGGCCAAACCATCGGGCACTCCCTCAATACGTACCGATTTAAGGGCAATTTGTTTCAGTTTTTTGAGATCAATGACGTCTCTGTCTTTTCACTTGTTTCACAGCTGGACTAACGGCCCTAAAAATGTTTTGATTGCTTTGATTCTTTTTTAGTTTAAATAGAGTACGGGAAAATACTACTAATCCATCATTCGCATCAAGCCCTATTCGCCAATCTGCTGTCGTCAACTCCAGATCTGCAATAGGATTTGGTTGAGCTGTTTTTTGGGTCATGTTTTTAACCTGTATTGAATCCTTTACTGCACAAATTTTAGTAGCATGGTCTAATTGCAGCTTCGGATTCGAGGCGCCACCTCCATTCAAGACGAAGCAGGAGACGGACACTTTTTTGCGTCACGCCATTGAACACCGACTGCGAGCCAATGACGAAGTATACCCACAGTGGGGGCAGGCAATGGCGCTTTTAACCCTACCACAAAACATACCTGCTGCTATCGGTCTCGAAGCGCAACTTGTTGACGAAATTTGGGCGCAAGCCGGCGATAGGTCCGTTGACGTGAGTCATTGCGTAATTTAGCCATGATTTGAATCCACAGCCTTGTTAAATGACTTGCCTTTGTTGTCCCTGACTAAGTGCGTATGTTCTGCAATTTTGTAATTTATTGTTAATCGAACATTAGGTCGAGTAGTCTTAGAATAATCATTGTTAGTCGGGTAGTTTTTCTACGGATCGATGGTGCGTTGTAGCCATTTCACTAGACATGGGTCCCTGCACACCCTTCTCAACTTTGTGTTTGACATATCGTTTTAGCTTGCTCACATACTTTGCTGAAATTACTCTTAGTGTCGCTTAATTGCCTTCAACCGACAAAGATCATTTCTGCCTTTGGGTTACTGAAGGTGATGCAGGTTATAGACGTTCGTATTTTACCTCAATTGGTTAGGGATTTGAACCAATGCTTTTTTTGTTCTTCTGAGGTCTACGTATGAACTTAATTCCTAATCAAAGTGTATTTCTGTTTCGCTGAAGTGCATTTCGACATCGTCATCTATTTCCATATGGCGTGTGCTGATTATTGTCGCAAGGACGAGTCTGAAACGCTGAAGCTTTGAACGTTCTTCGAGTCTCCTTTTGCCCGTGTTTTTGTGCATAATTCGTACACTGAAGGTTGGGGATACTGAGCGGTTCCAACCCACCAGCCCTCCTTCATGTGGTGCTTAGAATGGCTTAATTCATGTTTTTGCACGTGCAACAAAGATATTCATTTTTCTTCTTAGGTAGCAAGTACGGCCCCGCATTTTTCTCGAAGTTTATTTTCCATCGACTACCATAGGTAATTTTAACGAGTCGAACACATCGCTGCCTTCTAAAAGATCCAATGTCTTGCATTATTATGTACTCCCTCATTTGCCATCATGAAGTCTCAAGACCCTTTCCTCTTTCATGACTTTTATTCTGCACATTCGACGAATTTTTCAGTTTTTTAAAACCTTGATAATTACGCTGATTAACCGTACTTAAAATATTTTGATACGCTTAAATTCACAGTCCTGCCTTCTTGCTTTTGATTTTGTCTGATGGTTTGTGGGTAGATCATTGCCTTCCATTTCAACGTTTTAATTAGCAGATAGGTGTCGGCGGCATTAATGGCTATGGCGCAGTCGTCGTCTGTTCATTTGTAGTGATCTCTCATGGGGCAACCATTTGAGTTCAAGCTTGATTTCAGCTATTTAATATTCATTTTGTGCATCTAAGACGTCTACATTTTGGAGCGTGGTCTCGCTGCACATCGGTACCAACGGAAGACGGGAAGATGGGTAAATGAAATCAGATTATCATCTCGTCAGGGTTTGTTGCATTTACCGTGAGCGTTCAAAGACGGCTCACTTATCGGAGTGACAAGTTTTCTTGCATATCACAACGTTTAAATCGATTTGATCTTTTGACAATTTCACTTTCATCCGCTTTTAGATTAACTGGTACGCAAAGCGTCTGGGCCTGGCGTACGTGTACAAACTGGCCGAACTGTTTTACATACAGGACACGTCACCCGACCACAAGGACACTTGGGACTTCCTTGATCGTCGAATATGCGACCTTCGGGCTGTGAAGGAAGCCAAGGTGCGTTCTTTGAATCAGTTGATTGAGCCTAACAGAAAGGCCTCAATAGAAATGCTTGTGACTTGAAACATTCGTTGTCCATCTGACCCCAGTTGATTCGGTGCATTGCTAAGTATTGCGTTTCGGGACTTCCCATTTGGTGTTAGAAGGCATTGGGTAGAACTGGCTACTTATCCTCAGAGGGAAGAGGGAGAGATTGGGTTTCGGCTTGGTCCGAAGGCTAGCCGTCGCAGCCAAGAGTAATCAGGTAAACAAGGTATTACTCTACCGGTCAGTGCACCGTTATGACATTTTCACTTGCAATTTTTTGCGATTTTTACGCCATCAGGGCTGTACATTCACCGTGTTTTATTGATACATCTCCGTTTTTTCATAGGAGGCACCCATCTTGTCGCAGAAGTAGAGGGTTGACGTATCAATCAAGTCTAAAATGGGCTTCAGTCTGAGGACTTTCAATGACACGCGATTAGCACTAGTCAGCAGTATTTTCTTTAGATACTAATAAAGGCTGGAGGCAAGTTTGACTTCAACCTTGTGAAGTAATGATTATCCGTATTTTCCTGTGAGTTTGAAGAGGTAAATGCTCAATTAATCAGATGTCAACTTCCTTTCCTCTAAATAGAAGGAAGGCCGATTGCCTGATTTTGAAGCTCGCCTCTCTTATTTGCTACTTTCGACCAATTCATCTTCCCGAGTGAAGCAGATGAAATGTAAAATGTCGCATCTCTTATTAATTTTTTATTTCATCTTTGAGTAAAGTTATCCTTATGCAAACCTTTTACAGTCTCATCGACCTTATAATTCACTTAGAACTTTGTTCCAATTACAAAGAGTCAGTCATAGCGATTTCCGGTCCACGAGTCGGGTCACCTTCGACCAAGCACTAGGCTTCCACTCTGTATGAGGTGGTGGTAGTATTTTGTATTCGTTCGTTTTTAATGTCAATGTCTATAATGCATTTGGAACCAGGGTAGTACATGTTCATTATTCCACCCGAATATTGTTTCCCTGGATTTACCTTTCGACGACTGCAATTGACTATTTAAGTCTTTTATTGCTGATTTGGAGTTGTTGCTTACGTCTTTTACAATGGTCGTCTACGTTGATGGAGATATGCCTCAAAGGATTAAAGCCCTGGACCTATTGATGATTTCAACGTTGCTTTTCCCATCAAAAGGCACCTAGCTTAATGTATTTCAGTACTAGAGTTCCATTGTGACCATCCTGTAACATCACAACTGTGCAGCTTAATTAGCATATTCACGCAATTTTAATTAGCCTTGTCGCAAAAAAGTGCCTTAAAGAGAAAATTGATGTGGTCTCTGGAGGATGCTTGCATGTAGCTATTACTTTTTTAAGCCACTCGAATTCGTGCCGCTTCAGAATAGATGTACTTCCATATTCACTTCAGTTTTGCGCCCTCGGCCTTGTTGGCTTCACATTATTATTATTATTATCTAATCCACAAGAATGGGCTTCAGTCATCATCATGGGAACAGTTTTTAACTCCATTGGCGTTCGTCTAGGTTTCTACTGTTTACCTATCCTCTGCAGGTCCGTTTGGATATTAAACCTTATTGGTCTTCACTCTTTGTGTTTTATCCAGCCTACCCCTGACCTTTTGTTCTGCTACAGCTCAAAGGCGTCGCTAGCATGTTGCGCGAGGGAGTGTTTGCCGCGGGTCATGTCGTAAGTTTCTTTCCTTGCGTTACTGTCATGAAGACGAGAATGCCCACTTTCGTATTTGACTGTATAATGAGTCACCCATTTGCATCTTCACGTGCCTTCGCTACCCATGTTTTTGAAAGGGAGCAATGCCGAACGTAAACTTACTGTTCACATTGATTTTGCTCCGCCTTTCCGGAATAGCATTCTGTTAGCAAAGGGTTTGCTGAGTTGCGACTAGGTCAATGTAATCCCAATGTCCTTCTGGTAGGTTCTTTGTGGGAATGGGAAGAAATATCGTTATCATTCCAACGAGCATTTTATAACGTCATTGGAAAGTGGAGTGCATTGGCATGCTATACAGTTCTTGAATTAACAAATTGATATAATTATTCTTTCACTGTAAAGGGTTTATAATTACCAGATTGTGGTGTTGGGCTTCACACCTCCCAACGTATACTTCAGTCGGTTCTGTTTCCAAGATGCTTTTAAGCCTTTTTTCCGTCGTTATCTGGTTTTATAACGCTACAGGAACGTGAAGAAAGCCCCAACTTTGATGGACAAAAGTGCACTGCTTTTTAAGGAATAGGTTATTTTTAGAGAGAGGCAGAGAAGCACTCCGAGATTTCCGCCGGGTGCTGTTTAGTCTTTGAATATATTTAACTGCTTAGTCAGTGTCATCCTAGTTATCATCTCATGATAACAGCAAATTTTTTGGCGCAGTGGTGAAGTTTGGGGGCTTGCGAATTGTTGAAAAACCGTAGTAGTGCGGAAGGAGATGTGCTACATACTTTACGTTTTCAATGTAACATTGCTTTTCCTTTTTTAGACTGTGAACATCTTGGGTTGGAGTTGCAGAGGCTGTTAGATTTGTCTCCTACTTCCCTACCCCGACTTTGCTGGTCCTCTAGGAGTCAAGCCTGTGAATAAATCTATCAAACGCTAACTTTTTTCTGCATATTGGAATGTTTGCTGTGTGAATTGGTCCACCAGATAGGGCCAAAAAGTGTACTGTGGTTTCGCGCCTGTAGAAGACGTGATCAGGGAATCGCAGTAGTTCCTTCTCAACTCTACCAACTTTTTAAACGTTCTCGCGCTAGTTGTGCATTTACCTGTCGATTATGGCTTTTCACTGATAATGTCAAGATCATCCAGTCATTTGAAGTCTGTGTGTGGACTGATTTTAATACAGTGAGCCACCAAAAATATAGAGTAAAGTACAGTTTGTTTGTATGGCTTGGTTTGGGATAGAGGACAGATAGAACCTACTTTTGCGCACTCATTTGGTTGTTGCAACTCCGTTTTGCAGAGTGGTTTGGATGGCCCAGAAATTCCGTAGCAGTGAGTGGGACCCCTTCTTACTGACAGGTCAGATAGTGTTTATGCAATGTCTTTTCTACGGTACCACGGGTGCTCTGTGCGCCCTGGTGAGCCCCATTTCTCAGTGGCACACGAGTCTGCGTCTCCTCTTGGATGACAGTGAGTTACGTTTTCGAGATCTTCAAGGGCGTTGCCTCATCGCCGTGTTTCTCCTCTCCGCCGGTCTCTGTGCTCTCGGGTTGTGGCGGTTGGTGCGACGTACCAAACTGTGCCTCGACTTCACCTGCACCCTCTATTTCTGGCATTTCATATTTTGTGCCCTCTACACCTCTTCCTTTCCCGTCTCGGTGGCCTGGTGGCTCACTGTTGCCGTTTCCGTCATTTTCATGACTATTATGGGTGAATTCCTTTGCATGCGAACCGAAATGCAGGCTATCCCCCTGGGTGGAGCTACCAGTAGTGTGGTATGATTCGCTGACACGACTGACCTAGTGATCTCGCCTCCTCTTCCCTCATTGTCTTTGTCTTTCTTTTTGCAGAGCCCTTATGTATTTGTTTGACTATGTTTGGTGTCTATTAGTATTAATTGACGCTTCAAATAATATCCGTCGTCTCTGAACCTGTTATCTATCAGAGGTAGAGGTTGTATGTTGATAATATTCTTTTTGTGTAAAAATTGCATGGGATTTCCTTAGTTATTAAGCTTGATAAGTAAAAAGATTTTTGGGTATTTCATATGTACAGACACGAAGTGTTGATAGGCTTAGGGCTTTTGCCTTTCTGCAGCTTGTGTTGTACGGAGCATCAAGCGGACCTTTCCGGTCTTCTTAAGGTGCGCAAGCATTTCAGATCTTATTTATGCGTGATGGTATTGCATCGACATCGAATGTTGGTCTGTCGATGAAACAGTGTTCATTTCTAGAGTTAAAAGGTGGCAATACGAGATCAGTGTCGCCTCACTTAGGAACGTCAAGTTAGAAGTGGCTTTGACTGATATGGTTTTGAGCTCTTGGTCGTGCTGGTATTGCTATATGTGGAGCAGGGATACTCCTGAGGTTTTCTTGTTTGCAGTGCCTCAGAGCTGCCTTGTAAATTTAGGACATTTTCCGTCCTCGAGTGCCCGGTACTTAGTCACGATTTTGTGCTCATTTGTTGCTTTTGTGTATCACTGTTGTTGAATGCTGACGTTTTGAAGTGGAGTTCCGGCTGCTTATAGAAATGCATTATGAAAAGGATTTCTCATTAGCACCTGAATGCCGCTAATCAAGCAGATGTCAGGAGGATTTGTATAGGTTCTAGTAGCTTTTATAAATCGAAGCATTTCGATTGGTTTTTGTAGACTCACGTTATGGAGGTCGCTATGGAATAAACCGAAGTCCTTGATCTGTCTCAGGAAGTTTACTGCGGGATTTGGTATCTCTCTTCACTTGAGTAACTGCAAGTTGTTAACGGAGATCAGAGGCATGACAGACTTACAATGGACTCCATGATGTTGATAATGATTCTTCAAAACCTCTCATCAAATGGAGCCTTTTCGGGTTCATTTTTTAATGGTAATTATTTTTTTTAGCAAAAAGCATTAAACTCCTTCAAAACCCTTCACTTTAAAGTCACAATGTCCAGTAGGATGTAGTAATTAAGCTAATCAGGGTGGAAATTTTTATTTAAGAATGAATGCTTTGACGATGCCATGCATAACATGTCATGCATATGTCCAGGCGTTTTACGGATCGCTTAAGAAGGACACACATCTATGGCGTTTAATAAAAGAGCTGTGGAATTTCACTTTCTGCCACTCATGGGCGAACTAATTGTGGAAATTCTTGCGATATTGGTCACTCCCTTTAACTTCTTGGCTCATATTTCTCAACCAGATTTGGGGGAGGGATTTGAGATATTTGCTTCTTATTCCCCTCATCTGCTGTGGAAATCACTACGTTCTATTTTCTCCTGAGCACCACCACGCTTTGTCCCAAATTGAAGCCCTAACACCTGAGAAGTTATGATGGAGTAGCTTCCAACAGCGACACAAGAATGATGCTTGAAAAATGTAAGAAAGGAATGCGAACGTAAAAACCGGGTGTGTGTGTGTTAAAACCTAGCTAATTTGGCCTTTCTGAACCCAAATTGGTAGATTCATCTGTGCTAGAGTAGCAGCATTTCGTAACTTTCACACGTCTCTTTCAAACCACTAACCAATGCCTGGAAATACGCCTCACTCAGCTCTTACTTTATCCCGGGAATTTATGACGTTCTTGTGGAGAAATCACATGTAATAAGAAGCCTATTGAAATCATCTGCATATTTTATTTTGAGTGCGTCTTGTCTGTTGGGCAAGGTACTGCTCCAATAAATTCGTACTTTATGATATTTGTTCCGTTTTATGCGTAAATGTAAGTGAGGAAGCTTAAAACTGGGATGATTTTTTTGCATTCGAGGGGATGGATGAAGAGTGGCGGCAACGGTTCGAAATCAAACACCTTAACAGGACAAATTCAATCTCCGCATTATGGTAAATTTATTTTTTCATTATACCTCAGTCAGCAAATAGATTTAATTTAAATGGCTACCAATGACGTAAATGATGGAGCAAACGAAATCGCACAACTCCTTTCCCAAGTTGTCGGATTTCATTTTACTTACGATAACAGCTTAAGTGCGCACCTCAGTCTCCACGATGGGGTCAATCAACATTAACTAAATTATGAGAAGGAAATAAACATACGCAATTAAAAATCTCATCCGATTCAAGGAGAGCTGATTGCGCCTAGTGAGGTGCTCATCACCCTCTTTGGCTGTCCAAATCGACGATGTTGTGGAATTTCTGTTTGTCGAGAAATCACTAATACAACTCGCTTATCTTCTAAAATCACTTGAATCCTGACCCACATGAATAATTTAAGCTAGTAGAAGGACATCGGCATATGCATTAAAGGTGTAGTTAACTGTATCCACAGTTGATGAGGGCACGCAAGTGAAACGGTCTATGATTTCCCACAAATACCTGCTATTCAATTTATCTAACAACTGAGCATGTTTTGAATGTTGATCTGCCTCCAGGGAAATACTCAAGGGGAGGGCAAGCAATTGGCTATGTATTCCCGCTCATCTAAGGGGCGATGCATCAGAATAATGTAAAATATTTCCTTCTCACCTCAATAGAACTTCTAGATTTGATGCGCTACTACTGCAAGTGACTTAGTTCCACAACAGTTCTAATTAGCAACGTTTGGTAAAAATTGTCACATTCGCAACTCAAAATAGTGCGATGTCGTAGTAAGAACAGAAGATGTGAATCAAAACTGTACTGGCAGTGCCCAACAAGTAACTGGAAATTCAAAAACTCACGACTTCCTCATCAAAGTACGCGGAAATTTATGACCGTTCTGAGCATCGTTTAATCTCTTGTGGGTTTCCGGACCATCACATTGGCGAAGTGAGCTGGAGTTAGCGCTAGTGGCCGAACGTTTGGATGCTATGACTACGTGACTCCTCCCAATGGAATTAACAGGTGCCAATAGGGGGTGAAGGCAATAATGCCATAAATTTTATTCCTCTACCGTACCAGCCGTGTGAGAAGGGAAGAGACAAAGTGCGGCAAGTGCTAATTAACTAATAGTGTGGGAAAAATCCAAATAGAGAGAGCGAACAATAGTTGGTGAAGCGTATGATGTACACAAAGGAGTGCTTTATTTTGTGACAGGTTTAGTTCCATAAGCCCAGCTCGGGAAGGGCGACGCAGGGCTTAGCGCCATAGAGGTTTTCTCTTGCAGGAGAGGTGCGTCTCGTAAACATGCCCGGTGTCAAAAAGAGCCTACAAATAAGGCCTGATCACTCATTCCTCCTCCAACCAAACGCTTATTACATGTCAGTGGCTGCATTGATGGAGCCTTTAAACTAGTATGAGCCATTTTGAGAGTCGACGGAGAATCGAAGCATTGTTTAAATGGCGCCAAATGGCAGAATGAGTGAAATTTTCGACTGGGTTAGTGCTTGTCACAATGGCTCAATGTAGGTCCACTAATATATAACGAGTTTAAACCTCGTGTTAGGTATAGAAGTTGGCTTCATTCTTGTTGGATTGTTTCCTCGGAGGCCTTGCGGACTACCACAGCAGGACGACGGCTGTCCACTTTTGCTCCATAGCTACCCAGGTCATTTGTGCTAACTGACTTGAGCTGCTAAGGGCGTTCACAGAGCTACAGCGTCGACATGACTTGAGTACCAAAAAGTCAGGAGCACGAACGTGTATTGTCGTGCAGCTGGTAAACTGGCTATCTTATTGACTTTACTTTATATACACAACCGTAACAATACATATGTAATAATGGTCCCATTGATATGACAACTCACAGCCAAAATAATCTTTGACGGTGATTGTCGAAAGCCTTGAGAAAATATGAAATAGTGAAAGGGTAAGTTACATGGGTTCCAGTTACCAACCCGGTTTTTTGCTTCCCGCCTTGGAAACTATGGAATGTCTCATTTTATGTTCCGCTCTCAAGGCTGCGCTTTTGTGTGTGGGTATGCGAAGGAAGGTCGCAGGGAACTTGTTTGCGTGTTGGAGGGATATGGTTTGGAAAACTTCCCGGTGGAGTAAAATAATTTTGCCTCTTCTCGTCTAGGAGGAAAAGGAGGAGTTAGTAGCATAGCCGCCGTTTTATTACAACTACATGACCATCCAAATAGTTAATTTACTTTCACAACGTCTCAAAAGAATAAACCTTTTCATACTCTCCCTTTGTAAGGGCTAAAACAATCCACAATTACTGCTATGATACACACCATTTGGTTTATAAATAAAAGTGGTTTTATTTTTGAGTGGGTTGTATAACCTTGGAGTTAAAAAGGTTATGCAATTTGCAACAAGATGACAAAGGGCTCAAAATGGATGGACGTCTGCCATAAATGATAACCTTAAATAAAAAGGTATAAGAAGGGTAGGAACCACATCCTCTTGGCTTCACACTGTCACGCTGACAAGTTCTACCTTTCAAGTTGCCACCGTAAGGAGTGCGATCGAGTGAATACAATAAGGCAGCTGTTTTCCTTAAACAACCTCGAGTAAAATTGGTTTGGTGTGGTGGTGTGGAGTATTCGCGAGACATACGTATGAAATTCATCGGTCCAGAATAATATTAACATGAACTTGCCATTCGACCACTGCTGTAATTTTGACTGAGTGTTTACCGTTCTGCGCTAAATGCTGCAGCAACAGAATTGAGCGGAATTGGTTGATTCTTCAGTCGGCCCAGCCTCAGCGATACAGTGCCTTGCGCGGTCTGGATGGAGAAGAAAGGCCGACTAATGCGCGTTCCGTTATCCACAGTTAAAGTTGACCTCTGCTAGTAATCCCAGCCTGGTTTACTTACCTTGGTCTGAATTGCACCTCTGATTAACTTTGAACAACTATGTGTGACTGTGCGTTGACTCCTCCAGATGATACTTAATTGTTTTTTTGAAGTCTTTGCATGTTTAAGAGAGGAGAATGGCGGAAGTTCCTTCCTATCTTTAATACTTTATTTTACGACAGCTCCAAACACAACACCCAACTGTTGCGTTGCTTGATCCCCTTGGGAGATGTAAGCTTTGCATATATTTTGCTACTCTTTTGTGTCAGAAATTGGTATGACATTTCAATGCCTTCAATCCTATGTAAGTTAGGTAACCGTTAAGTACAACTCCACACCATTGTTAAACAGCAGCATTGACCATAAAACGCCAATCGTAGGCTAAACCAATTTTTGGCTGCTACAAGTTACGATTTTGTAATTAGTGCAAACTGCCGCCTGGAGCCCCAATAAGCACATACTCAGAAGGTTAATTTGCTCGAAAGTTAGTACGTGGTAATTATCTTAATTGCTCTCAGATAGGTAGTGCGAAGGCCTCAAAATCACTAATCATTCATGATTTAAACTAGGTAGATTTGCAATGCATTTTAGGAGGACATCAAAATCGACAATAAGCATGTTAATGCCCCAAATGTGTCATAAAATTTAAGATTCAGTGGAGTTATTCCTGAAGATGCATTAAAAGTTTCTACGCGCATGTTGACAATTTCGGTCTCCAAGTTTTCCACTTGTGCGCAAACCGGACCTTCGGTGAGGCCACAAAACCCCTATGTCTCACAGATTGCATAAACTTTAAGGGGGTAATTCATTAATGCCACTACCTCAATAATTCCTTCAGACCACTTTACTGAGTCAAAGCCGCAGAAACAAAACGAATAAAAAGTGGTGGGGAAGCGAAATGGAGTGAGGATGCCGACTCACATCAGTATGGTCGATTAGCCGGATACATCGCTGCTCGGCATAGCCAGTTGACTGACTTTTAATGCAAATTAACTATTCAAAACATCCCTATTTCGTACAGGAATCCCCAAAAATCAATGATAGATGCAGATATTCCTCATGCCTCTCAATGACAATTTGCTTTACACCTAGTTTGAGCAACAATGAATTTGTTAGTGTACGGTTGTGCGACAACTTCTGGCCCAAAACGAAACTTTGACAGTTTCCTATAATTATTCGATTGCATAAAGTGATTTGGTGAATGTTGCTAACATGGTTCCATGTAGATGTGTCTGAAGTTATTGAAGAAGCTACAACCAGTTGATGATTTTGCAGAACAAGCACAAGTTACGCTGATGGAGCCATGAAGGAGGGCCGAGGTGACCTCCACCTAAAAATAGCCTTGCGTGCAAGCAACAGAGCATGCCTAATTAATTCACACAGTCCAGAAAAAACAACATCAACAGCAGGGGTCTTGTCATTCATGTTGACGTGTCTTTCCATGCCGGTGCGGGTACAGTGATAGTTTATGTATGTGGTAAGGTATAGGAGCCGTTCAACATTTCACCAAGCAAATCTGTGAGAAAGAGAAGTGTGTAAAATAATTACTTCATCTACAAACATACCGTTTTCATTTTTACCCATTAATTTTGTAAAGAAAGACCCGTGGAATGAGACGGGCCATTTGTTGCTGTATTACCTCTGCCATTTTGTACTAACTGCACAGGATTGCTGCGACAACCCCAGCCCTCTTCAGGGTACCGAGGAGCGACTTTTTTTCCTTCAAAGGGGTCGTGGAATCTGCACCTTGGATTTATCTGTCTCTGTGAAACTGATCAGCAAGGAAAAGGAGGACAAAGAAGCAACCTACCGAACCAGCGTTCATGCGTTAAATACATTCAAACGTTAGTTATACCAAACAAATAATCTGTCACATTTTACAGTGATGGAATATTTTAGCTACACTTCGCTCTGAGGAGTGAAAACGGTCATTAACGGAGGGAACCACCGATTGTTGTGTTCAGCAGCGATTCAAATAGAGTTCGCCTGCTTGTCGATGTAGACACGGGCACAAACCACAAGCCAAGTCAATGAATTTACTATGAAATGGTCGCTCGCCATTTGACGATTTTGACCATTGTTAATGCAACACAAGTTGGAAAGTGGTTTAAACACATCTTCGGAAACGTTAGTGTTTTCATTAAATAATGATTTGAATTTGCAGCAAAAATTGTGAATTGTCATTTTTTATTGTAATCGCCTCTCATAGCTACAAGATCTGCGGTGGTTCGCATGTATTCCTCTACGTCATTCACTTACAACAAAAAGCCTAACAAATGTCAAAATCACTTGCCTTTAGCAAAGTAGCGACCTCTTCTTGAGAGCCGTTTTCGACGTTAATGCCATTGATGGCTAGAATTTGGTCTCCAATCATTATTCTTCCATCTATTTGTGCTGCACTACCTTTTATCTATAATAGAATAGCATTATAACATAGTGACAGCCAATGCGGACATGACTCCAAGAGCAAGTTTACCCTGAGCACTTCAATGTATGCTATAATTTTATAGCACCAACGCTGATGCATAATGCGATGAAAAAATAAACAGTAGGAGTTAGGTTTGTCTCTTCCAAAGCTCTGAATAGTCAAAACAAAACTATATCCAGCATGCTCTGAGTAGTCAAAGAACTTCAAACCGACTCAAGTTTCCCTTACTAGATCGCAAACAATGACTCCTAGACCAGGCCTTTCAGTTTCTGCTGTAGAGCGCTGGATGGTATTCAGAGGTGTTGACGGAGAAGCGGTGGAGGATGCGGGTGAGGAAAGGGCGACGCCATTGGCTGTGACAAGAGTGGGTCCGGAACGTTCCACAATGCAAAGACCGAGGCCGCGACCAGGCTTCTTAAGAAGATCTGCGGTAACCTCCTGATCGTACCACTTCGTCTGTACTCCCGCGCCTGGTCTCTCCACTACCAGAGTAATGAAACCGGCGTCATTAGCATAATGGCTGGGGGAGGCGGCCGCCACCATACTGGAGAGATCCATTTCACTATGTAGTGGTGTTTGACCCGAGAAGGCTGCCGCAATTGTTGACACCGCCACTCCATAGGGTAGGTTGGAGAGTGACTCATTGTTCACCGCCAGCAGTCTATCACCTGGCTCTAGTCGGCCATCTAATGCAGCGGCTCCCTCAGAGAATATTTCGTGCACTTGGAGAACGCCCTTTCATAAGGAAGGAGAAGAAAGTTAAAGTCCAGTGTGGTGAGCATTATAAATCGTTATCGTAGGCAAGATTAGTTTCCACACTTGTTTCCTCCTACCAGTCCAAATGTTAGACTATTCGTTTTAGGGTGAGAGCCATGCATCTAGAAGAATTTAAAGATATGAATGGTCGAGGTGGCCATTTTTTCGCCCTTTTCTCTCCTTCTATTTTGTTTTCTTCTGCTTAGAGGATGAGTCCTTCAGTTAGCATTACGCAGTGCCTTATTTCACCTCTAATTTGGCCAAGTGAAGCAAATATTCACCATGACTGGTGATCGCACGCCAAAGTTGGCCATAATCACAGCTGCTCTGAAGTATTATTCTGAATGGAAACATTTGAAAAGAAATATCGATATTACCAAGGAGCGTTTGTTGGGATTGTGGTAAGTTCTGCTTCCATTCTAACTTCATTTTGCTTTACCGCTCTCTTGATTACTATCAACAAACTGTATAGAGAATCCAAACCACCCTAGTCTACTTTCATCTCCATATCGTGGTTGGAAAAAAATACTAATAAGGGCAAGCAGGAAAATCTTCGGATGTAAATATGTGAAATCGACATCGTTCTTTTGAACACTTCATAGCCAAAGTGCGAACTCGATGAAATCTTGTTTAAATGCATAACAAGAAAACATGCGCAAGCGTTTTGATCTATTTAAGATCAACATCCAAACTAACAATATAACGGACATTAGAATGTACCAAGCCACCGCTTTGAAGGAAACAAAGCGGGTAATATGAGCTCTAACCCTCTCAGTTTTGCACATGGGACCTATAAGCATTTATGGCCGATGGTCAATGCGCAAAAAAGGGGGAAAAGTGCGACCTTACGAGAGAAGTCTCACTACCACCAATGAGAGAGATGCCCAGGCTAAGGGAAGGGTTCTTGCGAATGCGGATGAGAGTCTTCTGTCCAGGTAGAATAGGTCGTGTAGTTGCTGACTCAGCCTCGTCACGATTAGCATCACTTCTGCAACTGTGTGGAACACAATAAGCAGCGGCAATCCGTTCAAGCGCCTCCTCGTAGCGCCCCTGCAGTGCTGCATCGGTGGTTTTACTGGTGGTATTATCGTTGCCATTGTCAGCATTGACAACCCGAAGAGGCATAACAGGAATAGGCGGACCAGCAAGTTGGGTGAGGCTGGACATGGGCACTACTCCAAGGAAATTTTTGGCTGCTAGACGTCTTGCAAAACCGGGGGTGACCGCATCTGGACAGGAAGCGCGGCGCACCTCATTCGATATCCCCATGTTTGGTGAAAGAAGATCCAAAGTCTCCGAAACTATTGGCCGGTGTAATTCTATTAAAGTGGAAATTCCATAAAGATAGTCAATGTTGAGTAAAATGAAAAGCGACATGTCTCAACCTCCAATCCCAAGGAAACGCCTTTTGCAGAACATTTACGCTATCCAGTTACTGCTTTGCGTATTAGGTTGATTAAAATAGTCCGGCAGAAAGGCGTCTGGATCCTAGTTGATAGAATTCTGCCAGACATTGTTCTTTTTATTGAGGCAATAACGATGTGCTAAAACAGATGCGACCTTTACGATTAATAGATGCACAAAGTACTGTTGATTAAAATCTCTACAACTGTGTGTAATTTCAAATTTACCAATGCGCTGCTGAAAAAAATTGAGAATGAGGCAACCAATTTCGAACACATATCTGAATGTGATCTTGCGTTACAAACTGATGGAAAGTAAGTGTTGTAGTGAGCTTATTTGACCTGCCGTGCATCACAGCACTGACCTGATTCACATTTTGTTACCTCCTTTGGCTCAATGTTATAACTTGTAGTAAATGTAACCATCAGCTATGCCACACTGTACATTTCCTAAAAAAATTATGCATTTCTAATGGCAGACTTAGCTGGAGTGAATCAATGCCTGAGGCGAACTTATGCTTACATAAACGACGGAGGAAAGAACTGGCACAAAGAAAACGCCATTATTATCAAGAGTGTCGATGCTATAACGATATGCTACAACATGTACAAAAGCAATTGTCCACCGGAATGAAAAAAGCGAAATGATTCTGCTAGTCATTCATTTCAACTATATCACATTGTTGATCACCACATAACCCGTAATTTACTCGATCATTTAATAAGATAAATGTCTATACTTTGATATTTCTGCATAAAAATGGGTGGACCAAACTGCTTTCAGATGATACACAATGTGAAATTAGTACAGCTTAACTCAGAACTCTAATTCAACAAAACCACTTTCATTTGACTGCTTTGCATTCTGGACAGGTAAACCAACAGATCACTATGACTTTGTCTGTTTTTTCTTGCAATGGGGCATCTATAAATGGAAGCCACTTACCCTTGCACTTGGAGTCGCTTAGGACCCGTCCTCTTTCAAGGGAGCTGACAGTATCGTCCACGGAGGCAAATTGGAGGGAGGATTTCTTTGAGGAGGCTGTCGAAGATGAAGGATGCATGAAGGCATGAATGAGAGAAGAAATGAGAGGCGCGGAGAGGCGTTTTCGAAACCCCATTTTATATGGCTCCTCCTCCTCCGAGGGCCGACGCTCGCCCGTGAAAAGACGAACCCGTGATACCACTATCCGAACCTGCATGAGCAATTATGAACAATCGGCTTTCACTATGGACGACGTAGTGTTATGAATTTGGCGAATCTCAATACCTTAACTTTTTTCAAATTACGGTGAAAAGATTTGTCATTACATACTCCATGACACCGCAGTGTCGACTCATTTGGTTTTGAGGTTTTACCAACCTTTGAATTTCGTTAAGCCGGACAATAGAACTTAAAAATGAGCACAACCTTTGACGTGGAGTTTTACCTCTTTTCCTTAGTATTACTTATCTGCCAGTCCCTTCACTTTTTGTAGCATCTATAAAATACTTGCCAAGAAGTTCTTGGTCTGCTAAGACTCCTCGTGCAGTCCAACTAATCACTGAAGCTAAGTGAACGTAAAACGCACCATGAGATCATATTCCGTTTTTGCTAGGTATAAGACAGCATTAATTTCGCCCTTTCTCCGCAATTTCCCAAATTGATCGGGTGGTATGCCACTGCCGTTAAGTTAAAGTTCTCAAATCTGGATTGCATTGTACAATAACTGCCAGCCAGGCGGTACTTAATACAGAACCTCGTCCCTACAAGAGCGATGAAGCCGAGTACTTCAGTGAAGTTAGTTTACAACATGTAAAATGGATAGATTGGTGGGAGAAATAAGTACAAAAAGGTAGATACAAATACGTTTCAAATGACCGGTATTATGCGTTGTTAACAAATCATTATAGCCTACAAATGCTGTTTCTGCTAATCTTAAGGAAAAATAATGTAGTATAAACAAGAAGAAAACTACCCTTTTTGGACATTTTATGCGTATTTTTGCCTATAGAAATGGCATGGACGAAACGATTTGTTGGCATTTTGAAATTAGGTAGTCGTTTATGTGAAGCTTGCAGTTTCCTAAAATTGCATTGCTTTCGAAGTAGGTGACCTCTAACTGAGTGTCAAAATCTTCGAGCCAATTTTTATGGGAATGCGATGCATCAATGCAACAGCAGGAGCCCCGCGGGTGACGAAACCAGATTGGTGTGAATGACTCACTTGATGCCGAGCGGACCTCAACCACTCCAGAACGGAGTCGTAGCTTGCATGCAAAGCGTCGTGCCAGTCGACTCTGAGGATCCGATCACCAGCTCTCAGTGTCCCATCCTACAAATACGTTTGCAATAAATGCGCATTTAGGTGCGTCTAGAAAGTTTTTACTAAGACAATTAAATAAAACATGCTCAAACATCTCTTCAGAGTGTGTTTTTGATCACACATTTCCATGTCCCATCTCTTGCAAATGTAGCCTGATCAAAGGGAACAACTGAGAGATAATTTCGTCCTAATGCAGTCATTGCTGCATCAACTATCGTTTGCTTGCTTAATGCAACCATGCCATTTCAATTTTGATTCGATTGTTTTGACGCCTTAATGCAGTGGGTTCCTTGAAATAAATTTAGTAGGGGAGAATAATGATAATGACGACTTGGTCCTCCCTGTGTGACCTCTTGCAATTAATGCTCTCCCAATATTTGAGGCGGTCGCGCTTGTCTTTCTAAATAAAAGGCATCAACATGAATGAGGTTGAAAATACAATTAAAATGGTACGTTTGGTAAAATAAATCCACTTCCTTAGGAAGATAGACTCATGACAACGCAGATGTCACAGGCACTAATAAATTATTAATCTTATGACAAAATCAAACTAGCTCCTCCTGTATCCATTCAGCTTCCTTTGCTTATTTTTACAACAAAGATGCGTAAAGTTAAAAGCTCTAGAAAGGATGTCCTCATCAAGGCATCCTTAAGAAATAGATTATTTGGGAACGTAAGAGTTGCTCAAAGACATCCAGCTCGAAATTAAGGTCAGTTTTCATGTCGAAGGAACAGCACAATGAAATGCGTCATACAGACCATGGAAGGGTCAGTGGCGATAGAGAAAAAAGAACTAACTTACAACATGATTAAAAGACAACTGACCACCAAAAACATAAACAGAATGGAGAATGTCGTTCCCTCAACACTGAAGCATAGTTAGTTCACTGAACTCCTAAACCACTTCAAAATTTTGGCTTAACGGACCCATGCTTGATTAAGCTACGTAGATGGCAACTACCACTGACACAACTCTACTCCTCATAGAAGTGACTTGAAGGTGACCAACATTCCTTCATAATGGGTTGGGCGTAGCAATTTTATCTTTTTTCGCCTTTTACCTTTCCTTACTTTAAAAGAGCGGACTTTAGTTAAAAGGAAACGTTTTTGACAAGTGCTATTAGTATGAAGTGGATGAAATAAAATCTGATCGTACATTAAACTACAAATGCTTATCATCAGAAATGGCTGTCACTCAACAATGAATTTGCAAAACATCAGCCTTTTTTAACTCAAAAACTACATTTTGACTGCAAAAAGTAGGTTAAGGCATTGTCAAAATTTCAGCAGTTGCTCCTTTTGTTTTAACATAGGCCTTCACGCAAATTTTATTTGCATTACATTCAACTAAGGCGACACATGGTTTGCTCTGTATGCTCACATGCCCGCACATCATGATTCCGTTTCATGGCAGTGAGAGCGCCTTTCGGTGCCGTTCATACGTGTTGGGATTGCCTTAAGACATTTCGTTTTGCTAATCCAACAGCAGCTTGTTCATTTCCTTTCAATTGACCTAACCCTAAAACCGTCTTTTGAGACACGATTTCTACTGTTGGAGTAATTAAAGCAGTTAACTATGATCCCAACGTACCAAGGCGGCAGGACTATTTTCGACCAACTGCTTGATGTATATCCCCGGTTCGTTGGTAAAGCTTTTGTCCATTATAGCGAATCCAAAGCCGTTACGGCCCTAAAAGGCACGGGCAGATTATGCATGAAGTTGCTACTTTTGTTGGCTAATGCCATTGAGAATGTGTTTGCTTCAGCAAATATCGAGTGAAAAATAGCAGAAATGAGAGTCCAGCTTCGAAAAAGTGGGGCACTTTATTTTACTCTGCATTCATTCAAAGATCCATTTTTGTGGACGGTAAACAACACAGAAGGAGCACTTACTCGTAGTAGACGAGTAGCATGAACTTCTTCAAACGTTGAACGACCCATGGGGCTACCCTGAACCTGCAGGGTACCTGCTGTAGGCGAATCTACCCCAGATGCTGTGTCAAGACTGTTTCGACGGCTGACCTTTTGGGAGCTCTAAAAGTTTAATCGTTTACTGGTACTGCATCACATATGAGCTTGACGTATGTATTTAGCTGTATTCGTGCGCGTTTAAAAATTTGTATAAACTGTTGCTGACAGTACACAAAATAGCCATTGTAGTAAAGTCAGAGCGCTGTGTTGGCTTTCGAAGCGTAGCTCTGTTTACCCTTAGCAAGAAAATCGTGCTACTATGGCAGTCTTAAACTGGGTTAACGACTAACCCGCTCTCTTTCGCACAATTGCATAGCATCGCAACTAGGAAATACTGTCTCCCTTCCGGCGGCACAATATATTTTTTTAAAAAAGTGCACAATTGTTTCGCGCCTCTTAATGTGGTGGCAGGTAGATGCACAAGTCTGCAGCAACGCCTTGTCGGGCTGATGCTGCTGATTTTGTGTGAGGGGTGCTGCTAGCCCCTTATTTGCATAGAACACCTCCAAATCCCACATGATGCATGTGATACATTTAGTCATAAAGGTTGTAATACCCACAGAGATCAGTATTCGACCTTTCGTGACGCCCGTTTACCGCCAACTTTGGTGTTTTTCTGCAGTTTCTGTTTTCGCATTTCACACAATTTATCCCTAATATAATACCGATACCGACAGGCAAACGCGCCTTTATCAGAAGGTGTCAAAGGAAAAGCTCCAGGCAATAATGGAAACGAATTTAGGCTACAGTACTGCTATGGTGTTTACAGTAAATGCCATCATAATCCATGCTAAAAGGCATATGGGCCATGGTGAGTGTTGGAAAAGAAACCTTTACTTTCAGACGCAACATCAGACCATTGCTAACATTAACCTGATTAACTCAGATTAACTCGCGTTAAAAGCAATAAAAGCTTTAAAGGCACCAATAAGGAAGTGAACCATTCCATTAGAGCTTAAAATACATCCCATGATAGCCGGAAATAATGAAATTTTAACTGACTTTTGAGCAGCAGAGCTGATTAAAGCACACCTCCAACGACGTGATCATGTTACGAGCACAGAATGATGTAAATCGCAGTTAGCGTAGAGCAACGCTTATGAGGCTGATTCTTGAATAACGCTCCATAATGCAATGGTGGAGTTCTGCAGATCCACTAGTCATTAAAACCTTACACACAATCGTCTACTCACTGTAACGTAGGAGAGCGGCGCAACAGCCATGTTGGTGAGATTTTCGGGATTCCGACAAATTACAAAGCATAGAGAGGAAGGGATTTTGGAGCGTTTGTTGGAGGGTCTGTGCAGGACGCTAAGGAGGCAGGAGCGGATTAGGGGACCGGCATTCAGATGGCTCCGACCATAAAGGACGTGCTCATTGAGCTTTAAACATTGAGGAAAGAGTTTGGAGTTAGTTAAATGACAAATAGCTCATGACTGGATAAATTATATGCTGGAAAGGAGCCAAAACTACGCGACGCAATTAGGAGGATGCTATATTACTACCAGTAATAAAAGAGAGTATCGAGGATGTTATCTTACTGAGTTGTTATTTTTAGTGACACTTAGTAACATGCCCCCTCCCTCTCTTTTTGTTGAGAATTACATTTTCCTTTTATGTCTGTCACACTTCGTCAGTCCAGTATTTTAACACTGCTACCACTAAACGGTCAACACATGATCCTAAGCCATTTATTTGTTCCACATTGCCTTCGAGTTATAGCCATGATTCATCTTCCACTTTCACATCACTTCCTCGAATTACTGTTGGACAATATACGGCTTCGAAAGGGATCGGTAATGCCTTTACGGGTGACCCACCTCAAGCAGCTGATCTCCTACCGTAATACGTCCATCCACCTCGGCGATACTTCCAGGTCGGAGGCCACAGACTAAAACAGCCATTTGATTAAGATCCTTGTTTCCACAGAGAGATATCCCGAGGGTCTTAAGGACGCGTGAATTTGTATTGCTAGAGGGTCTCTGGAACGAGGTGACAGGAATTGTGGGAGAACTTAGTGGGCTTGTTGATTGCTGGTGAGCTGCTGAGTTGCGGTAATTGGAAGAGAGGATCTCTTGGATCTCCTTTACTGTTATTTCAACGATAATTATTTCACCAGCCAATTCACCATACTTCCTCTGAAGGTTGTCTAAAATGCAAAAGTAAGTTAATTCTGGCCCAAAATGTTGTCAAGACAACTTAGAGAAAACTTACTACTTCTCGTTAAGCATTTATTACTCTTCCCTGTTTGTAATCAAGCCCAAAAATAGTTTCCACCATTTATCATATAAATAATACGCACACTAGATCTCTTTACCCGATTTCTACCTTGATAAATAAGAGTGCCTGCAGCATGCGGTCTGGTAGAATTGCTTTTGTGCCACAAAAGTCAGTGAATAGGCATCTCTATGAAGTAAACACTGATACTATAAAGGTTAAGCACTGGTCAAGTGCTTTTAATCAGGAACTGTTTGTGGACAACATGACCGAATTAAGACTTTTAGTGCCGTTTTGTGCTCGTTTTGGGGATGTGCTCAACCCAAACTTTAAGTGTCGTCTCGGTGGCTTGTACAATAAAGGCAAGAACAGCTGATTTGTATGTTTTGGAAAGTATAAATAGGTTGTAAAATTTGTTCACGTGATTTGGATTAGTTCATAGCTTCATCAAATTAATGCAACAAACTAATAGGAAAGCATTTTTCAAATGAAGGAATGTAGATGCTGTAGTAAACCGCAATTTTCGAGAAGCAGTGGGAGAGGAATGTTTTGGTTTAAAAAAGACACTATGCATAGCATGTCTGGTATTTAACTTTTGTCCTCTGCACAAGCATTTCTTTAGTTCACAGGTTGAGGAGATAACGTAAGTGAAATTTCATATTTGTCTAGCATGACAGTTTTTGGCGACACCAGGGACTGGAGGCAATCTGAAGTCGCTGAACAATGCTAGTCTCCGTTCGATTTGATAAGAGGCCTGGAATTTTAAGTCTAAACACATGTTGTCTTTATTCCAGTGAAATCCAACTACATCACACTTGAAAATAACCTATATGATCAGGTATAAGGTGGTAACAACGGGAAACCATGTAGAATTATCAAGGTTCGCAATGGTAGAATTGGAATTTGGTCGAACACAAAACTTGGTCCCACTGCAACTCACTCTAAGCTCCCGCCATATTCGTAAGGAATCGGTCGAATCCCATAAAAAGTACAATATTTGACGGATAGTATCACACGAGTGCAGAAGTTGCCTTGTACTACTTCACGCATGGCTCGGAAGTTTTTGTTCGCTTCTTGTTAGGAGACTGGGATAAACCATAAGGTAAACTATGAAGTAGACGCCACTTGTTAAGAAACATCTGCTTGTTCAGGGCTTAAAGTTTGCAAATAAAATAGCATATTGCCTACTGACTGTGGAGGTACTTTATGTTTCAAAGTGTTACTTCTTGAAGTCCATTACTTTTAACGACAAGTGTGTCAGACACGTGTAACCCCTTCTGACCTGACGAAACCGCGGTGACCTGGAGGCAGTCGGCGTTTAGCAAAAGTCAGCTTCTCCCAAGTGTAACGCGCCACAGCTTACAACCGTGAGACATTTGTAAACCTTCATTCACTTTATAGAGTGCATAAATCAAACGATCGTCGGTCAAAAAATGAGAGAGATGACAATGTGTTGCCTACCACCTTTAACGAAGCCGAGAAAAGACAAGTTGGTAATCTCTCTATAATTTCCATCAACTTCACAAGGTTAACGATGGCGATAGTAGAGCGCAGTCACTTCTAAACTGTTTGTAAAATGTCTGACTAAGGCCGCTTGTGAGGAGCTTTTACGCTTGAAAGGAAATTTTCAGCAGAACCATTTTTAGCTCAGCAAATGATGTTGAACAGCCAGAGGCAGTTCTGCATGAGTTAAACCAGACTGCTCATTGCCCTAAAGGCTAAAGCTAGAAAATCGTCAATTTATGCACACCAATTGGATTTTCACCATTACAATTTTGAGCTTGAAAAGATCGCAGTAAGCAGAAATTTGGTCAAATTTTGCCTCTAGGGGCTCAAAGTCACTACTTCTACCGCAAAGAGCACTATAACTTTAAATAAACACCAAATTTTGGGTGAACACCAAAGTAAATGGGGGATTTGTGCTTATTGTCTTGCATTCTGATGACTTCAAATCCCTCTCTGAACATGCAAAGTGGTGCTGTCTCTGCCGATTCTCTGTTCGGCGACAATTCATGTGCTAGCAACAACAGCGGCAACGAAAACATCGACAAATGTTCACTGTCCGATGCGTACTTCTGTCTCAATTATTTTCATAACCCTGTGCAATCCATTAGATCCAGATTAACAAGACCCCTTAATATTTTAATTGATGTGGGCTGATTCCTAAAATGTTGAATAAGCGGTTTTACAGTTGATGTTGGAATACTGCCTCCTAAAGCTTGGTCTGTCAGTGGACTGCATTAGTGCACCTTCATGATGGCTGACAATGGCCTAAAGCACTTCTGGTACCTTTTCTTTACCTAAAATTTACGGCATTTGGTTGGCTGATTATTTGAATTCATATGCTGACTGGCGTTTAAATTCCTCACCCCTTACCTTGTCTCCTTTTAATTTATCTCAGTCCATCAGGTTATGCACTATCTTCAAACATCAGTCAAGAGAAATAGAAGATGGACTAAAAGTTATGAGGAGAGTGTGTACGCGTATGCGAAGGTTTCTCTTAGCTGACATCGGACAAGGTGAAGCAATTAGCTCAGATAGAGGGTAAGATTTCGTAAACATACGGCAGTATGAAAAGTAGGTGGCCAATCTCGAAGTGACAAAATAAAAAATGGCGAATGGCCAGCATTTGCACTTAAAAACAACACACCTTAAAAGATGGTGTAAGGATAGGGAATCGCCAAAGAAAATGATGCCAACAATGAGGTCAGATGTCTTGCACTTTCATTTTATCACCATTAAGGTCAAAACTAATTAGTTTATTAAAATGTAGTGACTACCCTATTTGTGGTGCAGCAAATACTGCTTTCTTGCTTGCTGCAGAAGAGAGCATGCTTCTGTGGAATTCTTTGAATGCATTGCCGGAGGGATGCAGATGTGAATTCCAGAGAGGCATCTTAAGTGCAACCAAGTGGTTGTGTGAGCGTTCGAAAATTAATGTCCATGAACTTTTCAGTGTAGTGTTTCAACTATGACTGCATGGAAAATGACCCGTAAATAGATGAGACTGCGCCAGAGGTGTAGAACGGCTTTACCATAAGTTCTACGGCATCGCCAAACGTTTATGTTTCTCTTCTAATAAGCTATCCAGTCAACCCATGATGTTCGTCAATCTATTTATATGGGTTTTGCTATCTCAACTTAATAAACTAATTTAGGATAAAGCGACGCCTAAATAATGAACAGTCCGCCAAACGTCGTTCTCAGTACCACAGAAAATGCCCGATGAAAGAGGTTTGACATGCAAATTCAAGTCGCATCCATTAGGTATTGAAGGAAAGTGGGTATCATCTGCAGGGGAATCGTTATAACCGTCAGATAGCTCAAAAAATGCCCTCGAGGGGTAGAGAATGGAATCATAAACATATTAGTAGCATTTTCTCAGGACGAGGCTAGAGAGTACTGTTTTGAAGCAAGCCCTATTTTTCATAACAGAGATTACTACGGGCTTTGGTTTCAAATTAAATTAAATTAAACTGAATTAACTTATACCCTTGCCTATTATAAAAAAACGAAAACATAAACGAAATAGTTCATGCTTTCCTTTGATAAAAACAAGGCTAGTTGTTGCATAAGACTGGTGTAGATTACAAAGCTTGGCAAAATCCTTAAAAGTGTGAGAACCTCCTTAGTACAAGCAAAATGATGACCTTACCAAATTCAGCATCGGTCACGGGAACGTAACAACAGGCACTATTAGGGTTGGGAGCAGAGACAGTTCGATCTTTGGGAGGATGAATGGATTTTACGATCTTTTGTCCATTTTCCTTCGTCGATTGCAAACATTCAGTAACGATGTTGGTGCACGTTTTGTCTGTCAACACATCGCCACAAATATGTATTTCTCCGGATTGTGAAAATGCCGGCTTGCGTGAATCCGAATTTGGTAGTGAAACGTTGCTTGATGTCATTTCTCTCATGCACATGGTTGCACTTTCACAGATAGGAACGTACCAACGCAAAAGTGATTAACAGATTGTGCAGTGTCGTTTTTAGCTCTTGCCTTCATTTGATCGACGACTGGACTGATGGGTGGATGGATGGGTAGATCAATAGGTAGGTCGGTAGATTATACAGATATAACTAGTGAGATGGATGGAGGCAATTGGGCCACGAACACGTCAGGTGTGCACGTAAGCACATGCGCACACACCTGCCCACGCGCCTGAAAAGCAGTTTCCTGATTGGCCAACACAATAGCCAATCAGTGAGGCGCTCTGGCGACATTGATCTAGGTCGAATGCCAGGCTAACCATCTGTGGCGTGAAGGTCTGACGCCGGGGTTAGCCAGACAGCATAGCGAGACTGTGGTTGCTGGATTGCAGTGAAACGATAAAGGCATGCTAAGGAGGAAATTCGCAACCCACCATCAAACTGCGATTCCTCTTAATGTCTTTCGGCAACCTTTATGCTTTAAAAGTGATATACACCTTCGGGCGCTATGATGAGTAGACTCTTTCTCGGTGCTTAAACGATTTTACCGATTTTATTTTGTCAGTGTATATTATTCTTTGCAATTTATTTTATCATTCGCATTGCATAATTTATGCATTTGTAAAAAACCAACAATTCGTAGGGCACGCATGCAGATGACAGATAACGTGGGACAATAGGCACTCAATATTAATTCTCGTAATCCCTAGTAGTTGATCCAATTTCGGTTCTATGGGTGACGCTGGTTTGACAATACTCATCGGCGTAATTATTGCAGCGAACAGTCTTCATCCGCCCCATTAAAGTCCACAAATAAGTGTAGGTAAGGCCAAAAGATCCCTTGATGACGCATTTTACTTTTTCCACGCACCGGTTGCAGAGGCCGTAATTTTGATGTGTGGGCGTCAGAACTTGACCAAACTTAGAAGTCGTGAAAGCTACATAAGATGGCTTGCTGTGTAATTTATTTGGATACCCTTATGTTCATCCGTTTCACGTCTTTGGGCTGGAGTTCATAATCTGCTATGTGCGCTCAAGGGAAGCTGAACAATTCGCCTCGTCTGCGCGAGACTCACGAATTATGTCTTTGAGGGAATCCCAAACTTTGCAGACATAAAAAATAATGAGATAAATTTTGGCTAGGTTGCGTTTTGTGACCACAAACTCACATTTTGCCATCAATCTAGTCAACGGTAGTCCGACCCTTAATCAGTCATGGCATCACTTTAGACTTTCAGGCACACACAAAAGCATCGTTGATTTTTTAATTTTTGAGTTTATAAAGCAAGCTTACTTATTTCCAAAGCTTTTTTGGATTTTAAAAGGTAAGAAAAGTGCCGAAAGGGAGCTAGACTAATAAGATAAGGTAATCGTAGCATGCTATTATTTGTCGAAGTAGAATTGACTAATGTCGTGTCACTTTAGCAAGCGCAAATGAGTGACTAGAAGCGAGGGCAGGAAGCGTTTTGGTCTATCCTTTTGCACGCTTTTAGTTGGACTTGATTAACAGCGGATGTGGACTTGGACGCAGTGTACAAAAGAATAGAGTACTGCGGCGGAAACTACGATCGGGGACTGGCTGTGGCTAGTCAAGGCAAGAGTAAGCGTGGACAAGTTGCGCCAGTGAGATCTAGATCCTTTTTTTGAATAAAAGCTTTAAGGCCTTATTGCACCACTAAATAATTGGGTAGACCATGCTTTAAGCGGGTAAGCATATTTTGGAAAGATGGAAGAACCTATAAAAAATGAATCTAGCACCGCTGAATAAAGGAAGGCTGCTGATAGCAAAGTGCTTCAGTTAGAGATCCTTTCGAAAATCTCCGTCCTTATGGGTGCCAGGGCACCTTAGAGTTTATGAGTGCCTAATTTTAACGTAATCATAACTGTAATTACAAAGCAACGGCTCCTCATTGTTCAAGCTCATTCACTTTTCAACCAGTCCGTGTAGGTAAGCAGTCAAAAGAAGGAGGAGCACTTTTGATCTCCAACCCATTCGCCTTATTTCGTGACCTGTTTCGTCACAGCTTCCTTCCCTCCGCCCTGGCCATCTTGGGCAATAAGGCGACCGTGTAGCCATCTTTGATTGAGCTACACTGCCTCAAAGTGCTTCTAGCCTCTGGCTGAGTTCGTGCAAACTGAATGGCATTTCAGTGTACATGAAAAGTCACCTTAACGTGCACGTAAGATGTAATTTTAAACCAGAACAGTGAAGACAAGGATATCATGCTATCATACCAAGATCAAAGAGATTTTCCAATATGATTTATTTTATAATCATCGGCTACAAACAAATAGTTAAAAAAATTCTCTTCAGACACGAGAAAGTTCCACAATCATGCATTTGCACAGAATAGTTGTTTGAGCTCGGATTTGCTATGGGTGACACGCACTTCAACGGCAGCCCCAAAATGTACTGAAGGTTGTTTGAAAAGCTTAGGATGGGTATTCGAACCTCATACATATGGTTCATTTGATGACAGCAGGGTTGAAGGGATTTAGACCTACCATAGCAAGAAGTATTGGTGTTTGACTCGGACCCAAGCGCACATTTGCCGTGTTTAGAGACGTCAGGCCAAGGCATCAGCGTGACTCCATCCTTGGAGCGATTCTCCTCTATTATAACGACATAGTGATTCGTGAATGCTTCTCCGTCAATTGTGACAACATCGCGATGGAGACTCTCACCTTGGGACACTCGTTCATTGCTTTTGTATTGTTTAACACCTTTGTGGCTCGTCTTCACCGCAGAAGTACCTCTGACCGACTTTTTTGCCTACAAGTGATCACAATTGAAATCAGGTTTCTTTTACGGAGCTAGTTAATTGATGTGCATCTGCAGCCTACAGAAAGGTGAAAAATTGGATCGATTTGTCAGGAACTTGTGTTGATTGCGTGCACAAAAGAGCCGAAAATGTTCGCAATTCCAGAAAACTTATGACAATATATCATCCGGAATTTCAAGCCTCTCTCTCTAAAACTTCACACAAATTACGCCTGGAATATAGCTGTGCTATGAAAAAGGTCTCCTGATAGTGCCGATACAACAAGATTCGTTTTAAACGTGACTGTGGGCGACCGCTGTTTTTCTTCTCTCGCAATAAACAACTTAAAAGGCGACTACTTCGCTCCTTTGGCTAGAAGTGGCCAATATACACAAATGAGTGGTGAGAATAAATCGTATTCTCCCTTCCTCTTCCCTCCCCGTCTATCAGAATGTGACAGTGAAGGCATTTGTTTCGTAATAGTTATAAAACTTTCAATAGACTTGCCTACGCAGTTAGCCAGTCCTTGGAATTTTTTCCTTCGATAGATTTTAAATATACCCATAAAGAAGAAGTTGCACTGACAACTTCCCTGTTTTCGAGTTGCCAAATGCTTTAACTTCTTTTTTTAGCTGTGAAAACTAAGTCTCACTCCGGGTCGCAATGACAACTTGAATTTCAGTCGTCGAAACATTAGTGCAGCAGCGGTCATCTAAAAAAATTATCAGTCCACCAAACACATAAATTTAGCTGGTCATGTTCGTTGCTTTCTTGTTGCTGGGTTATGCGCGGAACGATTTAATGAGAGGTGTGCGTGAAGAATGAAGGAATTTTGTGAAGCTGAGATTGGCAGTCTGATGATGCAGTGTTCATGCGAATTCCGAGAGATGACAAGCAAGCTGCGTGCAGAGAGCTGCTCAAAACGCAAATCAGTAGCATAAACATAAAGAATAGAACTGCAAAAGGTAAATGGCGTTAAGTCGGATGCGCATGAATCATCGAGTAAATTTTATTTTAGTCAAAACCTGAAATTTAACTTGGCTTGACTGATTTATTTTGAAGCTATTTGTCAATGTTCAAAATAACCTAGCTTAATAAATCATTCATGATGATATTCGTTTAATTTAACATTCGATGAAAGTATAATTTTACTAAACGAGGACAGAAGGCGATGCCAAAGTACCAGAGCATTTTTCGTTTAGGTACACGTAGGCGAGGAGACTGGGCAGCACCTCCACTTACAGGTACGGGCAAGCAAAGACCATCTGGACAAGGAGGTATTTTACCGAACAGCCAATGGAGATTGTTTCCACTAAAGCAACAGTACCTGGGATCTGGACAGCCGTATGGCAACGCATTCACTTTTCGTTTGTCTCGCCTTGAAGTACTCTGATTTCCTGCCATCAACAGAGCGATTTCTATGAGACCGTTGACGTTTGGGCGTTTCTGGATTCGAATCGCTACTGCTAAGCTAAAAAATGAGAAATTTATGATATTGACACCTCCGTTGTTCCTTTTCGAACGATGCCAACATCAACCCAAAAGTTTACACACTAAACCTGGTTGTAAAGGCTTTACAATTGCACTCACTGCATAATTACATAGCCCTACTATACAATAATACACTTTGAATCATGTAAATCAATCTGTATGAAGTTGTTAAGCGCTAAAGTACGTAGTGTGCATGGTTTTATGGGTGCGGGATAAGTATTTAAATGCAATCCACTTCATAGCAAGGCGACAACAAGACTGAAGAAGACCATTGCTCCAAAGCTCTTTGTTATCGTTGGTCAACGGAGCTGACTGCGTCGTGTTACGATGGAAAAGCAAATGAAGGATAACATACGGGCGGACATTCCTTGAGGCGTTTAACAAGAAGACGTATGGAAGCCGCATTTTGAGGATCACCATCGGACATCGAATCCTCTTCTACCTTCAGTTAGAAAGCACTTGCATAGCCTAGCATTTCGAACTCCACATTTGTTTATCATCAATCTGAAGATGGATCTACGCTTCGACTTAAAGGCAACTACAATGAACGAAGAACTCAACTACAAGAATGCCATGAAGTTAATTTTCATAAACTCTGAAGAAAAGTCAAGTAATTCTCATGAATAAACCTGATAGACTTTCTTCAATTATGTGCATTTACTCCAAATATTTACCCAGAAAGAAAGAGGAAGTTATCACTGCTCTTTTTAGTCACATAAGTTCGTAATGGGTAATTCTGCATGCATTACTGCCTTAAGGTCTGTTCTGATGATGCTACGACTTGAAAAGAAAGGATAAAGTTCTCGCTGGAAAGTCGCATCAC